CTTCTGACATTCATCCTCTGTGCACCCTTGAGCAAGTCGCTTCCCATCTCTGGGCCTCTGTTTCCCCACGGGTAGAAGGGAGACAGTGGACCAGCCGCCCTGGCCTGCGTTGCAGCTCTGACATTCCCTGATATTGTGATCTGCTCTCGCCCTGCTGCAAAGCTGCTGCCTGCAAATCACCGAAGCTATTTGAGGGTCACGTTTGTACATCTAGGTGCTGTTGAAATGCACAAGCATTTGCCACCCAGCGCCCACCTAGTCCTCGTCAATAATTCCCAGAGACCCAGCCTAGGAAAACAAACGGTGGGACCTGTTTGGAGAAGCCTGAGGCTCCCACCCTTCCAGACCCTTCTTCTTCTTGCTCCTCTACTCCCAGGCACACGGGACTTCAGGATACAAAACTTGCTTTGATTTTTGCCAAGCAACCTGGCAGCTCAGATCAGCCCACCTTGGAGGTCAGCAGGGACTGGAATATGCTGGAAACCATGGAGCCGTGACTGGGTGTGCAGCAGCAGGGGAGGGAAGGAGCAGGGAGCAGGTGAAGGGGATTTCTGAGCATTTGAAATCCAGACGCTACCATGCAAATGACATCAGCCCAGCATGCAAATAGGCAGAGTCAGGTCGAGACAGGGTCGGGGAGCCTGGAGCCCACGTGGAGGATAGGGCTTCCTCTGGGGGCAGCAGGGCTGCCAGAGGCGGAGGCTACAGTCTGGGCAGGGGGCCCCCGTGTGCCCAAGCCAGCAGGGGTGGGGATTAGGGCCGGACGCCCTGCTGTCAGGTCGGAGCTGATGGATCGCCACTGGTGGCGGAGCACAAAGGCCGTTCTGTGCCTGGCACCAATGTGTTCCCATCCATCAGAGGGCAGCTTGCAGGGGCGGAGGCGTGTGCAGGCGGAGGAAGACCAAGCCTCTGGAGGAGGCCTCTCCGCATCTCAGTTCCCCGCCATCGGGATTTTGAGAGGCCAAAAGACACCTGGGTCGCTCTGTCTTCTCAGTCCTGGGAGGGTCTGTGTCCCACAGCTGGACCCTGACATGGTGCCCTAGTCACCTTACTCAGACACCCACATCTACAGCCAGAGGTTCGTAGGAACCCAGACGCACAAGGTCACCCTAACCTCCCAGCCCTGCCCTCATGCCACAGACACAAGGCCAGACTCACGCCCAGCGGCTTCTTGCAGACAGGAGCTGGGGCCGTTCACTGCTCCGCCCCAGGTCTGGTCCCCGGGGGACTGGCAGGGAGTGTGTGCTGAGCAGATGGAGTGAATGAGTAAATTCCTCCTCTGGGCTATGTCGGCACTGTTTCTAGCCTACTCTTATCACCTAGCACCTCCCACCTTGATTAGACAACTGTCGTGCTCACCTTCCTCCTTTCGAGGTGAGCACGCTGAAGGCAAAGAGGTCATGTCTCACGCCGGGGACCCCAGCACCTGGCACAGGGGCTCGATCGTTTCTTGACTGAAAGGATGAAGGAACGGACAAGCACACCTGGGGCCGAGCCAGGTCTTCTCCCCCATTCCTGCCGCGTGGTCCCCTGGAGGCGATGAGCACAGGCTGGGGGGAGGCTGGGGGGCGGGAGCGGCCGCGCAAGAAGACAGAGCAAGGAGAGGGACGACCGTGTGTTGGGTGTTTGCATGTGCCGAGTGCACTTTCATTCAGTACGGCCACCGGTCCCCTGTCACATGCACACACGCCGCCCCCCGCCAGCCCGAGACCGGCAGCCTCTCCTCTGAGTGGGCTGTTCAGACCTTCGTCGTCTCACTCCTGGATCACCGTCGCGCTCTTCTTTGTGGTCTCCCTGCCTCGGCTTCCAAGTTCGTCCCCACTCCCATCTCTGCAGGCCTGTCTCCCGTCACCCCCTTACCTGACCCCCAGCTCTGTACAAACCGGCCTGCCCAACGCCCCCAGGCCCGCCTCTCCCCTCCTCATCCAGAACCCGCCTGCTCTCCGAGACCAGGCCCGGTGCGATCCCGTCCCCAAGCCTGAATCCCACAGGGCTTCTGCCATCTCGCAAACTCCTGGAACAGTCTTTTGAGGAGCCCACTCATTTGCAGTTGATCACAGACTCCACGCTCACTGCGGAATTAGCACAGCTCTGCCCTGCCTTGCCACGTAGCTTTCACACCCAGTCTGTACTCACCAGCTCGGTGCTAAGGTTCTGGAAACACCACAGAACAAGCCAGTTCTGCTTCCATTTTAGAGGAAGAAAACATATTGTTTAGGGGTAAGTCAGACTGGATCCTGAAAGGACAAAGATGCAATATCTGGGTTTCTATAGTAGCTTCAACATCACTCCTTTTCCCAGGGCTCATAGGATTGGAGTGTAAACTGAGGCACAGGGTTTTCTTGTTGTTGTTCTCTTTTTTTTGCAGGGGGATGTGTTAGAAATAGAGACTGTCCTTCAGGCCAGATGGTTGGGGGTAAAAGCAAGGTTTAGGGTCCACAGCATCCAAGCTGCCATGTCCCATCATGCTGGCAAGGCCAAGAACCAAAGTGAGACCTCACTGTTCCCCCTCAACATGCTTGCGGTTCTTTTATTGTCCAGCTACGTCCCCTCCTCACCTCTGTTCCCGACCCCAAAAGGTCACTACAATTTTCCTGGCTCCTCGCCGTGGCTAATAGGAAGGAGAGCTGGCCCTTCAAACACTGTGCAGCAGAGCTCGTCCCCTCTGTGGAGTCTTCCCCAAGTCCCCAGCACGGTTCCTTCTCCCCTTACTGTTCTTGCCACCAGCTTGAACTTATCAGCTTCATCTGCTATGGGAGGAGGGACAGCAGGACACATCAGACTTAGTCCACAGGGACATACAGAAAAATCTGGGGCCAAAGGTTGCAGATTGCAGCTCAAAGCCCAGAAGGACTCCTGAAGCTGCACATCACAGAGCCGACTGTCTTGTGACATCAGCAAAGCTGGACAGTGGCCACTTGGGAGGGAGATGTCGATACAGGGTGCTGGGTAGAACGAGGTTACCGTGATGGTCTACTGGATGGTAAGGTCAAGGGTAGGGACCCTGGCTTGGGTGTCCCTATAAGCCCCAGCCCTGAGACCGAGCCTGGTTCACCGCTGGCATCTGGGGGCTGCACGCCGCATTGAGCGGAATCGGTCCTCGCAGACCCCAAGTCCCCAACTGAGAGGTGGCCGTGGACTGAGATTAAACAGTCCCCTTCCACCTGACGTCCGAGACCTGCGTGCCGTGTGCACAGCTCACGGCTCAGACAGGAAGCGGCGGAACAGCCGAGCCAGGTGGTCCAGGAGGGGGCAGATTGACACTGAACTTGAAGGTCTCTGTCTGTCTCCTCTCCCGCCCCATGCACAGCGAAGAGTCGGGAAAATTCTGGTGTCCAAATGGGGCAGGAAACAGAGCTGAGGAGATGACACGGAAGGACAGATAAATGGTCCTAGAGAGAGAGAGAGAGAGAGAGGGACGAGACAGAGGGCTTAATACAGCTCGCCCCTGCCACCGCGGGGAAGGTGGCAACGTCCAGGCCACGAGCTCTAACCCTCCCACCACGACCAGCTGCGTTAAAAAGAGAACTTTGCCTGACCCCTGCCCCAAAACGAAAACCCCCAAAATTTCTCTTGCCTCAGTTTACCCCTGTTACATGAGACCCGAGAGAACACACGAGTCAGAGTTGCTATGGAAACTCGGAAGTTGAATCCAGGCATGCCCTGAGTCTCAGCCCCTCTTAGCCCTGGATGCTGAGTACCCACGAATGCCCCAGATTGAAGCAGGCCCGTTCTTGGGGGAGGGAGGTCTTTGAAAGAGCCTCCTCTGACCGGGACGGGTGGCTGAGGCGCTGTCGCCAAGCGGGGACACGGGTAAGTGGGCTGGCAAGGCCCCGTCCAGCCTGAGCCCGCCCCTTCCCTGCGCCCTGCCCCCCCTTCTCTGGGACTAGCAAGTTGAGCGCAGTTGGCCGCCCGGCTAGGAGTAATTGAAAGGAGCAGATGAGAGGGGAATGTGTTCTCCCCCACCTCCCCTGCCCCACGGGGGCTGCCGAGAAATGAAAACTAATCAAATTACACCCGACGGCCTCCCGACCCGTGCACAGGAGCCGGCCGGCCGGGGCGGGCTGGGCGGGGTGGGGGCCGTGGGGGAGAGGGAAGGGGAATCGCATCTAATCCACTCGAAACGTCTTGATGTGCAGCAACAGCTTAGAGGGGGGCTCAGGTTTCCGTGGCGTTGGCTATATTTATCTCTGGTTCCATGCCAGCGGGGAGGGTTTAAATGGCACCCAGCAGTTGGCGTGAGGGGCCGCAGGAGCTTGGGGGCCGGTGGCAGGAACAAGTCTTTTCCGACCCCATGGAGCTGTACGAGACACCCCCCTACTTCTACCAGGAGCCCCGCTTCTACGACGGGGAAAACTACCTGCCCGCCCACCTCCAGGGCTTCGAGCCGCCGGGCTACGAGCGGACTGAGCTCGGCCTGAGCCCCGAGGCCCGAGGGCCCCTGGAGGACAAGGGGCTGGGGACCCCCGAGCACTGTCCGGGCCAGTGCCTGCCGTGGGCGTGCAAGGTGTGCAAAAGGAAGTCGGTGTCGGTGGACCGGCGGCGCGCGGCCACGCTGCGGGAGAAGCGCCGGCTCAAGAAGGTGAACGAGGCCTTCGAGGCGCTCAAGAGGAGCACCTTGCTCAACCCCAACCAGCGGCTGCCCAAGGTGGAGATCCTGCGCAGCGCCATCCAGTACATCGAGCGCCTGCAGGCCCTGCTCAGCTCGCTCAACCAGGAGGAGCGCGACCTCCGCTACCGGGGCGGGGGCGGGCCCCAGCCGGGGGTAAGTGGCCTCCCCACTGCCCTGCCCCGGGAGACACCTGGGCAGCCTCCAGTCCCCACGGAGGGGCCCGGTCGGCGGGGTGACGCAGGTGCCAGGCAGGGGCCCAGGGGGCTGCAGGACCCCCTCCTTTGCCAGGGCTGCGCTGTCCTGCGTCCGGTGTTCTTTCCGGACAAGAGGAAGGCAGGCAGGGCGGGTGGCCGGGAAGGCACAGGACCGAGGAGGGGCTCCAGGGGCCAGTCCACAGTCAGCCCGGGTGGGGGAAGGATTAACCCAGCGCTTGAGTCAGAGCCCAGGAGGCCAGGCCAAGTACGCCAGAGAAGACCGCGGTCCCCACCCCACCCCATCCTGGGTGTGGCTGAGCAGAGAGAAACCCCCTCAGCCTCATGGGTCCCCAGCAGGCCTGCGCAGGACTGACCCGCGCTGGGCCAGACGTCACGCCTCCGTGACCCTCATCCCTAGGGTCAGGAAGACCCCTGTAAGCTGCTGTCCTGGGAGGGCAGAACCACCACCCGGGACAGAAGCCAGGGAGGCCTGGAGGAAGGGTCTCCGGTTGTGAAGATTCGGAGGTTTCAGATGGCCTGGGCTGGAGGGCCACGTCCTGAGGCCACCCTCCAGCCCCAGCACAGGTGCTTCTGCCCTGAGACCAGGCAGAGACTGACCTTGGGCCTCACCCTGTCTTGCAGGTGCCCAGCGAGTGCAGCTCCCACAGCGCCTCCTGCAGTCCGGAGTGGGGCAGCGCACTGGAGTTCGGCCCCAGCCCAGCGGGTAAGTGGGGCCTGGCCCAGGAAACCTTGGCTCAAGTCTCTCGGTCCCTCCCCAGGCCCCGCTCTCCCTCTTACCTGACTCCTGCCTCCAGTCCTCTTCCCTTCGCCTCTCCAGGGACTTCCTGGCTCCAGGGCCCCACGCGGTGGGCTAGGAGGCCCTGGGCCTCCCTGCAACCTTGACCCGCCAAGGAGTGACAGCAGCCTCCTGCGGCTCCCGGTTGGTGCCTGGTGGTTGACCTTCTCGCAGAGAGGAGAGTGTCCCTGCCCCAGGGGTCCCTGGGAATTGCTGAGTCAGTGCTGCGAAACTGGCCCAGCAAAGGGCAGCTCCAGCCTCTGAAGACACACCATCCTGGCTCCACTTGGAGTAGCCTTTTCCAAATCCCAGCCCTGCTAGGCGAGTTCAGAAGAGGCACGCGCACACACACACACGCACACACACGCACACACACGGCACTGAGAAAGGCAGGGTTCCTGTTTGGTTCACCCATCTATCCTGAAAACCCTGTGTCACCCCATGGGCCTCATCCCCCATTCTGGGCCTCCAGACGCCCTTGCTCACGCAGGTAACCCCCTCCCGCCTTCTGCTTGCAGAGCACCTGCTCGCAGCTGACCCTACAGACGCCCACAACCTGCACTCCCTCACCTCCATCGTGGACAGCATCACAGTGGAGGATGTGGCCGTGGCCTTCCCAGACGAAACCATGCCCAACTGAGATCGTCCGCCAGCCTGGGTGTCTGCGCAAGCCCCCCAAGCTGGCCACAGATGCCACCACCTCCACAGCAGGGGCCTCCGGAGCCAGGCTGCCCTGCCGCTGGGTGGCCAGCCGTGGGCTGCCATCAGCCAGACTACCCCCGTCCTCGTCCGTGTAAGGTTAACCCACCGCCCAGCAAGGGACGGGTGCCCTCATGTAGCTGACTCTTTAGAGCAGAGGGCACCCCCTTTCCAGGGAGGTAAAGCAGGGGACCAGAGCGCCCCCTCGTGTATGCCCCCGGCTCAGGGGGCAAACTCAGGAGCTTCCTTTTATCATAATGCACCCTGTAATTCCACCCCCCAAGGGAAACAGTTTGAGAGGCAAAGACAGTGTTCTGCCCTGGACCAGCTGTGCCTGTCTCCTGTCTGGTCTCTCCCCATGCCAGTGGCTGGGCTGGGCCTGCCCTCGGTGGAGAGAGAAGAAAGGGAGAGGAACAGTCCTCTGTTCCCCAGTCCCTGGGGGGCCAAGCTTTTGCAGTGAATATTGGGAACCTTCCAGTGGTTTTATGTTCTGTTTTGTTTTGTGTGTTGTTTGTAAAGCTGCCATCTGACCAAGGTCTTCTGTGCTGAAGTTGCTGGGGACAGGCAGGGAAGAGGGGGTGGGGGTTCTTGGGGTGATTTCTTTTGTTAACTAAGCATTGTGTGGTTTTGCCATTGTTTTGTATTTTTTTTTTTTTGCTAACTTATTTGGATTTCCTTTTTTAAAAAACAAATAAAGACTGGTTGCTAGAAGCGTGCCCGTCTCGTCGTGATGAGTAGAAGGAGAGGCGTGGCCGACTTTTCCCCTCCCCACTCAGCAGTCCAGATGCATCCCAGAGGCAGGGCTTGGAGTGGGTGTGCAAACCATCTTGCTGGTGGGCGCTAGGCACGGGGGACCCAGGCTCTTTGTACCACTGCGAGGGAAACCGGGCGGGTCTGGTCCGTAGGCTGGGCGAGGACCAGATGCCACAGAAACCCTTGTGGGACAGAGAGGAAAACCTGCCAAGAGCCCCGGTGCCCTCTAAGTCACAGACATGGCTCCCTGGCCACCGTGCTCAATCTCATATGCAGATAGGTCCCCTGGCTTCCAATCAATCGAACATATTCACAGCCCCCGCGTGCTCAGCACACAGCACAAGCAGATCTGGAATCTGCGGTTTCCCCTCCCTAATCCCTGCCGTTACCAGGAGCCCGTAGAGAAGTGCAAGGCAATTAAACCAGAGGCAGTGCGGGCAGACACTGTCGCTTCCTTGCCCCCTTCCAGTCCTCCGGGCAGAGGGGACCCGCTCCCTGCCTGCAGCTCAGAGCAGGAAGGGCATCTGCGGGGCGGGGCACAGAGGGGTCCTCAAAGAACAGTCAGAGGGTTCCAAGAGAAGCTGGGGTTCTCATCATTTGTGACGCTGTTTGAAATTCAAAGACTGGCTTCCTGAGGGGAGAAGGTGGGTGGGGAAGGGAGAACAAAGATTTCGGTAGAGATTACATAAGGACTAACTGAGGAGTTAGCAGGAACTCTAATAGAATTTGAATGGACCGTGAACATCTACTAGAAACTTTATTAATTCCAACTGCTTCGGCCCAAGTTCGTCTGATTTATTGCAAATTATGAGTCTCGGAATGATGTCAGAAGTCTGGGGATTCACAGCACGGTACCTTCCAGCCCCGTTCAATTTTAGGGGGCCCCTGACTACAGACTCACCCCAGTGTTGCTGAAGAGGCTCTGGTGACCGTCCTGCACGTGCTCTGGGCTCAGCTGGGACACCTCAGCGACCCTTGCCCTCCTGACCTTATTCCTGGAGAAGGGGTTCGACGCTGTACCCCTGAGTTTCTCCAGAAACTCTGCCTAAGGACAAGGATAAGAAGGGAGCCTCCTAGGAGGCCGGCAGAACCCGGGTAGGGTGCAGAAGAGACGGTTTCCTCCCAAACCACTGGCCAGGGCTAGGCTTACTGGGAATTGCAAATTAACTCCCATTTGTGGGATTTTCCTCTTTTCAAGTTTGTGTCATCGAGTTTGCCTTCTTTTCCTGGTGGAGGGGCTAGAGAGGAGGATCTCGGTTATTCCCACGGCTCTGAGCCCCGAGCCACTGCTCTTGGGAATGATGGCAACAAGGCCAGAAGTAACGCCTGGGCTCTAGAACCCTCATCCACTCCCTTGTTACCCACCAGAATACTAACCACACACTCAGGGGATCCCCTTCCCCCAGGTTCATTTCCTCTGCCCCGGCCCCTCCCGAGCTCCTTGGGCAGCCTTCAGCTGTGTGGCCTGCCTGTCCCTTGCCCCCTTTCTTACTGGGGGCTCAGACTGGCCGGGAAAGGCACTCAACTCCGCTAAGGAGCCAACAGGCTCAGGGGTTGCCGGATGTATTGTCCACACCGCTTCAGTCATCCCGCCCATTAGAAACCGAGGCTTGTGTTCACACTCTGGGAAGAATGAACAGTCCTCTGCAATAGCTACTGGAGACAGTAGTAGCTGCCATTCACGCCTGTGGATCCCTACCACGGGTGGGTGTAGTCATTGTCTACTTCAGCAGTCCCCAACGATTTTGGCACCAGGGACCGGTATCACAGAAGACAATTCTTCCACGGACTGGGTTTGGGAGTGTGTGGTGCAGAGCTCAGGGGGTCATGCGTGGCCCTTTTCCTAACAGTCCACGGACCGGCAATGGGCCACGGCCAGGGGTTGGGGACTGCAGGTCTACTGACTTTCTCAGTCTTCAAATCCTTAAGGGAGAAACAATTTGCTGGAATTCCACAGGCGTGAGGCAAGCAGAAGCCCATCCTCGCCCACTATTTTCACAGAAGAAACAGCTATCATCAAAGCACGGGGACTTTCTTAAATTAACAAATGCTTAATCTTCACAATAGGATTACAGATAGGACTCCAATTAATAAATAATGAGTCGAGTTCTTTAGGGAAATTAGCTTAAATTCTTTCTTTAGGGGAAGTACCTACACTGAATCAAAGTGGGTTAATCAAATGTTGCCTAATAATGGGCTTCAGGGAATCTGCTAGAATGAAAAGATAAAAATTACTTTAAATTGACATATCAATTGTGACTGTGTAAATAGGAATGCCTCTTATAGCGGTTTGGATAATCAGTGTGAATTGAAGAATGCTTAAGGTACTATTTGCTGCACTCCAACACACATTCTTAGGTATTTAACCTCTCAAGGTGATTTACCTGGCAGACTGGAAAACTTAAGTGCTGCAGGTGTAGGAGGCAGCTGGATCGACTGGAGCGGGAGGCAGGGAGCAGGGGGACCATGGAGGGGGAGAAGAGCCCCTTCATCTCGGGCACCTGTTCATGGATAAAACACCACCCCAACATGGCAGGTCCCTTGGACTTTCCTGAATTCCTGGTTTCTGGGCTCAATGCTGGGGCAGAGTAGGCTGAAGGTGAGTTTGGAAGGCTCCGGGCGGAGGTGGGGTCTTGGCTGAGGAAGCCCGGCCCAGGCCTGCATGGGACCCAAACTCCCTGCCTCCTGCTGCTTGGAGCATTTCTAGAGGGGGCAAAGATTCTTCTTTCTTTTCTACAAATGCCGACAGAAACATGTTGTTGGGGTCTCACTTTTAAAGCTCAGCATTTCCAAAACCAAACGCACATTTCCACACAAGCCTGCTCCTCCTACCTCCCCCATCCCAGTGGATGACAATACTGGGAAGTCATCGGTTTTTTTTTTTTTTTGGACCCCTTCAGCGAAGATCTCATTTCTGCAGCCAGCTGCCCCCCAAGGTTCATCAATGCTACCTTTGATTGCGGAGAGGGAGGGAACCCCAGAGGCTTCCAGGCTCTAGGCCAGCACCTTCCTAGCCTCCCTCTGCCCTCCCTGGGCCATGTGTAGGTTGCCTTGTCTTGCTCCCCTCCTGTCACCTGTCCCATCACCATGACTCTGCCATCCGTGCTCCATCCGTGTGTGGGGCACTGCCAGCCTTGGCGAGGGTATGCGGTTGCGTGGTGCGAGATGCTGCATGAATGGGAGCTCAACATTTCGATGAGCGGAAGAAACATAACTCCGTGAAGACTCGCAGGTGCCAGGGAGGGGCTGGGTCACTGAGGAGGCCTTGTTAAGGCGCGCTCAAGTGCGCTTAAAAGAGACGCAAGCGACACTCGGCAGCGTGCGCCCCAGGCACTGGGTCAGGAGTTTTAACAAACATACGGCAGCCAAGGAGGCGGCTCTGCAGTCAGGAAGACCCAGGTTCGAGACCCACATCTGTCTGCTACCAGCTGTGCAGTCCTAGTCTCAAAGTTTCCTGTTCCATAAAACGGTGAGAATACATCACAGCGTTGTGAGTCAATACATTTAACATGCTCAGCAAAGTGGCACACAATGGCACTCAGTGATTTTTAGCTCCTATTAATGTTAACTCTTGTAACAACCCTGAGAGAAAGGCTGCTTCATTTTTCCATTCAATGTGCCCACCGCAGGGTGCAGAGATCAACGAGAGCCCTAGAGGAGCCTCCTCACATCCCCGTGCGAGACAGACAGGAGGATTGCTGCGCGGTGTTTGCAGTGTGGAAGCTGCACTCCGGAAGCAAAGGGTGGCCCGTTACCTAATTCTGCGGAGGAGGGGCAGGTGACGTCTCCCGGTGATGCTTGAGGTGGGCCTTGGAGGCTCCACGCCAGAAAGGTGAGGAGAGACGCAGTCACGCCGCCTCCTGGTGAAGCCCGCGGGCACCGTGTTTCCAAGTCGGTGGACTGACACTGGAGGAAGGAGGTGAGGGGAAGGAGCCACCGCGAGGAGGGGCAGGACCTCTTCTGATGGGGGCGGTGGGGAGTGTGTGACTGAGAGTGTGACTGGTGGAGTGATGCGACCAGAGCGCGTTCAGAAGCAACACTAGGGGCAGCGCGACCACGCGAGCAGAGCCGAGAGGGGAAGTCAACCACACCCAGCAGTCGGGCTCCTCTCCCCGCCGTCCTTCCCTCCACTCCCTCTGCACCCGCGACCCAGACATCAACCTCTCCAGCAATCCTGTGGTCACGTAAGGAAGCAGATGATTACTGACTACAAGGTTTCGAAGTTGCACTATTTCCTTCCTAGAGGACAGCAGCCTTTAAGATGGTAAGGAAACAACAACAACAAAAAAAGAAACTGGAAATGTCGAGTGAATTCAAAGTGTTTTTTTTTTAAAAAAAGACCAGAGGCATTTGTATGTTGTCTTAAAACCAGGTTGTTTATTGGTGTGTACACACCCACGCTCACACCCGCACACACCCGCACACCCACTCCTGGTGCACTGGGCCAGTACAGTACTGAGAAGGGACCTGACGAGACACAGGAGGCTGGTGAGGAGGGCTCGGGTGACTGGTGACTCTCCAAAGAAAAAAAATATATTGACTATGAGGCAAGAGATACACCAAGACACCACCACTGTCTGCAAATACTTCTCCATCCCCTCGCTGCGATACTTCCCAAGGTGCCCTGAATGGACACGGCTCTCCCCAGCTGCTGCCTTAGGACATTCGAGCCATGACGGGGTCACGCTGTAGGGAGGAGAGGCTGGGGCTGGATCTCCCACACAGCCAGGCCATCGACCGGGAAGCAGATGGGCTTGGAGTGCTCAACTCCACCCATCTGAGGAATCTGGGGTTCCTCCATAATCTTAGCACCCGTTACCCAGGGATGGGGGCTCTTCCTGCCCATCCGACCCATTTTCTGTTCAATAACTCCTCCAGCTCAAGCAGCCTGGTGGGCAGGGAGGCCAGGGGACAGTGAGGGGGAGCAAGGGCAGGTGGCTGCCTTGCCCAACCCTAGGCAGCACCCACCCCACACCACTGGTGACCCTCTCCTCTTCTGCGAAGTGGCAGAAGGCTTCGGCCCTGGCGCTGCCCCCGGCTCCATCACCCCTTCGGGACAGGGGCGCTCTGGCCCATGTCCCCGCCTGCTCGTCCGGCCCCTGCTCAGAGCCCGGGCAGACCAGGTTGCAAAGCAGCTGCTCCAGCCGCCTGCAGGATGGCGCTGCCCTGGCCCCTGTCCAAGGAGCATGCTCGTCCAGGCACCCTTCCCTTCCTCTCGTTGCAACGAAGCCCTAGGTTCTATCATCCCACCCATGAGTCCGGAACACTTTCGGGCACCGCTGTAGAATGAAGGGACGGGTGAGGAAGAGGGAGTTCCCGGGCGCGGAATCCCTCAGCCCTGGTTCCCACCACGCTACTGGAGAATACAATTAAAATGGTGGGAGCTGGTGGATCTCAGGCATTTCTGGAGGAAGTCCTTGCACTCCAAAAGAGCACTGAATGAGGGCTGGGTGATTTGGGGACAGGCGAGAGTGACAGCCTTTGTCAACATTAGATTTCCCAGACCTGGGACATGATTTACTGGAGGGGAAGCTTTATTTTCTTCCTTTCAGAGAAAGGAAGCCTCATTCTACCTTTTCCCCTAACATGATTTTAGGGTCAATGTATATTCAATCCACCCCTCAGGTTCATTGTTATGGGGCTGGAATTACTAGAGAAGAGAGACAGAGGGAGAGAGCCAGGGTAGGGATGCGGGGAGCAGAGTCAGCAGTGCAGGGCTGCATCTGCTCTGCCCCAGAGCCTGAGCCCCACAACCCCCTCCTCCCAGCCCGCCAGGGGGCATTCCCATTGCCCTGTTGGCTCAAGGCTACCAAAGGCCACCAGCTCTCCCTCAGGCTGGCCTTCCTACACCTCTCACTGGGCAGGGGGCTGACAGCTTCTCCATCCTCACTCTTTGCCCAAAGCTCAGGGGTCCCTTTCTCTCTGATTCTTCCCAAACTCACATGTGAGATTCAGCTTAAGCCAGGCCCTGGAAATTCTACCTCAGCCTTCTTCCTCCCGGCCCTACCATCCTGAGGGAGAGAACAGGGCCTTCTGCAGCCCCCCACCGGCCCCCAAGCAGGTGCTGAGGCAGGAACGGCAGTCCTGGTGCCGGACTGGGGAAGGGGTGATGCTACGGGTGCCAACACCAGCAGTGAGACCACCTGGCAAAGCCAGCAGTGGACAGGGACTCCAGGCCGAATAGCCCAAGCAGGGCAGAGTCTGAAGTGACCCTTTCCTGGAAGGGCCAGCCCAGCCCTTGGCCCAGGATCCTCGTCCTGGTGGAAGCTGCAGTCCAGACCAGGCAAGGTCCAGAGAGGGAGGGTGGAATGCACACCCACCCTGGGCAGCCCTCCTCCCGCTCCCCTAGAATCCCATGCACGGACAACCAGGGCCTCCGCAGCACCAGGGGACCCCAGCCACACCCCACCAGAGACTTACAAAGGAAATACTGTGGGACTCAGGGTAGTGGGGTGCCAGGGGGGTGGACGAGTATATGCCGAGATCCGGGGCAACTGGAAAGTCACGGAGGAGACGAGGAGCTGTGGGAGGAAGGGGACCGAGCAGGAGGGGTCAGGGCCGGTGGAGGCTGTGAAACCCAGGAGGAGGAGGCCGGCCCTGTGGCTAGTCCCGGAAGGCCGAGAGCATGTGTCCGTAGAGATAGTGGGAGTGAGCTGAGAGAAAGAGAGAGACAGGCATTGCACGGTGAGTGGGGTGCGGGGTGTCTATCTGCAGGGTATTGTGCTTCAAGTGCAAAGCGCTGGCCAGCAGGAAGGGGCAAGCCGGGCAGTGCAGGCGAGCGGGGCTGCAGCGGCAGGGCCAGGCCGGCGGCCAGAGGCAGGTGCGCGGGGCCGAGGGCCAGCAGCAGAGCGCCCGCACCCCAGGGCCTGGCCCACTTACCCCGAGCCACGGGCACACCCCCGTCAGACCCGGGGCGCGAGGGTGGGGGGTCAGCAGGAGTAGGTCCGAACCGTGGAGGTCTCCAGTCTCTGTGCCCCCGCCGTCCCCGCTGGGAGGAGTCGGCAGCCGCGGGAGAACACACAGAGCGGCGGGTTAGTGCGGCCCACGCGTGCCCGCGCGCCCACGGCAGCCGTTAGTGCAGCGTCAGCCCGGAGGGAGCCTTGCCCCTCTCCGCCCGGCCGGGCCCCGGATGCTGGCACCGGAGCCACACAGACGGCGACAGCCCGGCCTTGGCCGCGCCCAGCCAGCCTGCCACTCACCTTCCGGCATGATCTTCTTCGGCGGGGCCGGCGGGGGCTGCAGGGGCCCCAGCGTGGACACGCGGAAGCCCGCCGGGAGGGTCTCCGAGGAGGCGCTGAGCATGCCGTGGTGGTCTCGCGGCCGGAAGCGTTTCCTCCAGGAGGGCGCGCGGCGGAACACCTTGTCGTCCCCCTGCAGCGTGGGGGACACGCAGAGGCCAGATTGGCATGTTGAACTTGCTCCCCTCACTCCCCGCCTGGGGGAGGGCAGTCATGGCTGGTTCTAGGGGTACCGCACCCATCCCTTTGGAAAGAGGGAGCAAGGTCACTTCTCCTTTCTAGCCCTTAGTTTCTCCATCTGGGGAAGGCATCAGGGAACCTGAAATGCTGTCTCCAGGCGGTGGGGTGGAGGGTGTGTGGGAGGAGTGGAATCTGGTGGATCTGTCACCCTGCGGTTACACTCTGCTTCCCTGTCCACCCCAATCCCCTCCCACTGGGCTTGGGGTGCTCAGTGACCTTTCAAGGTGTCCTTTTCTCAGCCTCACCCCATGGGAAGTCACCAGCCAGCCCCCTTCTGTCCTTCTGGGGCCTCCTGATGGCTGTGGCTGGGTATGCTGGAAGAGCACTGTGTCGGGAGTCAGGACACCTGGCTTCCAATCCTGACTCTGCCATTTTACTATTAATAGATATGTGACCCTGGGCAAAGTGAGTGACCTCTCTGAGCGTCAGTTTCCTCATCTGTAAAATGGGAATAACATCTGCCCTATTTCTCAGGCTGCCTAACCCTAATGGGATCAGCTGAGAGCACCCTGTGGTAGTGATTGGGCAGATGACCAAGCGGAAGCATGACCAAGCAAAGAACATGACCGGCAGCCCCCCGCCGTCATCTGCCCCAACACCCCTGCCAGCCAAGTCTCCAAAATAACCATCTCTGCCAAAAGGGCACCCAGGAACCCTACAGGATGCCTCCCCTGCACCCTTCAAAGGCCACATGTACCTGCTTTGTCCTGCCCAATCGCCCTCCACCCAGATCTCAGAACTGATGCAGGCAGAGAGGACAAGCAGGAACAAGGGACATTAACCCACCTGTCCTTGCCTCGACAACCCCTCCCAGCCCCAACCCCTTAGGGCTTGTAGTTCATGCCCTGAGTAGGCCAAATGCTCGGACCAGTTCTTAGCACTACGGACCTCTGCGTCATAGCACCTGTCCTAGGAGCATTTTCCCATGTAGTCATGAGATTCTTTCACTAATACAGTCGTGTACTGCATAACATTTCAGTCAGTGAGGGGTTACCTTCACAACACTGGTCCTATAAGATTACAATACCATATTTTTACTATACCTTTTCTATGTTTCGATATGTTTGATACACAAATACTTACCATTCTGTTCTGTTTATAGTATTCTGTACTGAAACGCGCTGTACAGGTTTGCAACCTCAGCACAATAGGCTACACCACATATCTAGGTGTGCAGTAGGCTATCCCACCTAGGCTTGTGTAATTACACTCTGTGTGCTATTTGCACAAGGACAGAATCACCTAAAGACACAAATCCCCATCACTAAGCAATTCACGACTGTCTCTCTTGCCCCCTCCCTCCCCTCTTCCCTCCCTCCTTTCCTCTACTGCTTTCACTCTCCCCACTCCTGCTTTCAAATTATATGCTCCAAGAAGGCAGAAACCATGAAAAATTGCCTTTTTGAACTTTGATTTCCTCATCTGTAATATGGGGATAATAACCCTCTCACATAGTGATTATTGTCATAAAATGAGACATCTGTCACCATTATACCACCACTCCTGGCCCAATGCCTGGCACAGAGCATGTATTCAAAGAAATATTTTTGTAAGGAGGAAAGACTAAATAGATTTTTTGTGTTGTTTTTGTTTTATTTTGTTTTTTGATGTTGTTGTTTTGAGACAGGATCTCACTGTATCACCTAGGCTGGTCTTAAACTCCTGACCTCAAGCGATCCTCTCGCCTCAACCTCCTGAGTAGCTGGGACTACAGACATGAGCTACAGAACCCAGCTCTAAATTGTTTTCTAAATCAAAAAACACCATACTAATACATACACACACATACTAATAAACACACACACACACATATATATATGAGTCATTTTTCCAGACAGCAACAAAGAAAGCTTAGATCCTAGGTGTGGGAGGGATAAGTAGAAGGGTCAGTATCACACAGGCATTGGAAAACTAAGATCTCTCAGAGTGGGGACAGCTAGGGGTCTGGAAGTTTACTCCTTGACTGGAAAAAATTATACACACACACACACATTTTTCCCCAAACTTCAAGCTACCTCTGGGAAGGAAACCTACGTCCACAAACTCTGCGCCTTCCCGAGAGTGACCTGTCCACTGAGGCAGAGCGACCATTCTGCAGAGGTGAGGCTGAGCCCTGTTAAACCCAACTAAGAAACAATGATCTGACTGAAGAAGGAGAAGCTAAAAATAAACATCCTCTGGGCTCTTTTTTAACTTGCTCGCAGCCGAATCAGCGAAGGCAGACCTGGCAGGCAAGGGCAGGCAATGGTGGGGACAGGAGAGAGAATGGGGAGGAGGTGGGGGTAGGGGGTGCGGGCGCCTGTCCTCAGAAAACAGGTGGGGAGGTGGGTGCAGCTCAGAATGTCAGGGTCTTCGTCTTTCCAGGCCAAATCAAGTAGCACGGTCTATCGCTTCAGTGACCGGGAGGGCTGAGAGAGGAGAACTTTAACTTGGCGTGAAGGTCACGCGGGAGTGAAACTAGGGAGAAAGCCGGAGCTGTGTCTTTGGCCCTGTCGAAGGCACTGGGGACCGAGAGCGCAGACCTGTCCCACACAGCCTCAGCTCCAAACACCACCTTCCTGCGGGGTGAGCTGGAATCCTACCGAGCAGGCTGGAAGGGTGCCCGGCTTGTGGCACTAAACATATGGGGTCTGAGAGACAAGGACAAAGGTATAATCCCAAAGCTTTGATCCTGTGTGGTTAGGAGGGCTGGGCCCAGAGGTGGCAGATGCTAGAAGTATAACATATAGGGGCCTTCAGCTTTTGTACAAGGAACCAGTTTCACAGACTTCTCCACAGCCTTTTGCTACCCAAAGACAGGCCCCGCCAGGCCTGGCCTGCCTCCCCAAACCCCTGACTTCACCCCCCGTCACTCCGGCTCTCTTCCTGTAGTCCAGCCCACCGGTCTTCAGCCCAGGGAAAGCAGAACTCATGAACTTCAATCCCATGAGCCAGCAATGACCAAATCCCCAAGGCCCCTAATTTACAGCCAAATACTCACGTCATCTAGCTTCCGGTCTGTGCCCAAAGCCAACAGGTTATTGAACTCCCTCTCCATCACTTGGCGTGCCTGGGGTCCATGGGGAGAGAGAAGGAAAGGTGGGAGGCTGTGGTTAGTGACCTCTACGCCATCTTTCACCTGTGTCCTAGGGCCCAAGGGCAGAGCTGGGGAGTCTCAGTGCACGAGCCCATTAGAGGCTTCACACACCTTCCTGACGGCGCTCCTTCAAGCAACCCTCAGAAATGAAACTATAAGCCTTAGGACTCTTTCATAGGGAGAAAATTAGGAAAATGTAATTTTTTTTAAAAGGAGGATCACAGAACATGTGGATGGATAAGCTTTATCTACAGGGAAAAATAACTGTCTAAAAAGGAAAGCCATGCCTGACTTCCTTTCTGGAGGGGTAAATAAGCATATAGACCATGGATAACCAGAACGTACCTTATTTGGATTAAATAAATACATCCGATAAGGTTCCACATTGAAAAATTAGGAAGACTGCTCAGTCACGGATACTGGTGGCCCCTGGGCCATGTTGTGGACACAGGCTTTTTCTTGGCCTCTCAGGAGATTAACTCACTGGGAGTTATGAAAATATGCCAGAAACAGGAAAGTTTTCAAAACTGCCACCAGATATTTTTAATGAAGGATTCTACATTGAGTCGGATACTAATTCTCCCAACAGCTAAGTTAAATGACTGGGTCAGGAAAATAAGAAAGGTCAGAAAGCAATAGAGAGGTGTCCCTGCTACTATTTACAGAATTACTGCTATCTTCAAAAACTGAATGCATTTAGAGATAGGAAACCAAAGAAGGAGAGAGGCCCATTTCTGGGTAGAAAATATTAACCATAGAGTTCCATAAGGACAGTCTTTGTCAGTGTGGGATTATGACATTTTTATAAATGATCTGAAAAGAGAGGCATAGTCAATTTTCAAGTATCCAAGTAACATTGCTCCTCTGGGTAGCGAAGGGTGATGAGGATAGGTATAAACTTCAGAAGCATCGCACAAAGCTGTGTGAGTGGGCAGGAAGGCGGCAAATGAGGTTCTAGGTGGGCAAGTGGAGAAAAATTGCACTTGGGAGACCCCAAGCTCGTCTTAGAGAATGAGGGTCCTGTGCCGTCTGCTTTGACTGGTCGGGGGTCACTGCAGGGTCTAAAGGACACGCTGGCCTTGTGTGCTGCCACCACCCCCAAAAGGCCAACACACTGTCCTGAATTATGGGACGACACAGAGCTACCCGCACTCAAGCCAGAACGTGTTTGCTCCCAGAATAGCCTGTGCAGCTCTGGTGGCTGAATTTCAAAAGAGATCTGACAGCTGCAAACAGTCCAGACAAGGGCAGCTAAAACGATCAGGGGACAGAGGGGAGTCTATATGAGGAAAGGCTAAAAGAATTAAGACCACTCTGTCTGGAGAGACAAAGGCTTGGACCCACAGGCAACACAATCAGAGTTGATGAAATCACAAAAGGTGAGAACTGGTCAGACACAAACCTATTTACCAAACCTAAAGTGTTAGGACAAAGCAGTTCCTTCCCCAGGGAAGGCCTGACAGGGGCATATTTAGGACAAATAAAATCAGGAAGTACTTCACACAACAAGTTGTACTTCTAGAATCCATTTACCCCCAGGAAGTTAGAAAGGCCAAAAATATAAATAGGTTCAAGAGAATTTAGATATATTCTGGTATGACAGCTCCATAAAAATGATGAAATGTAATTTAAGGAGATGTTTAATCTTTTGAGCTGCTGACAGGGAGACAAAGCCCTGGCATGGAGAGGCTCTGGGCTGTGTAATTCTGTATATTTAGCTTTTTTAAGCCTGGGGGCCAGGACCAGGTCCCTAGGACGTCAAAGGAGAGATGGGTCCTCTGGCCCCTATGGGCCCCGGGGCCAGTTCTCCTCTAAGAAAAGTGAGACCAGAGAAGCAGCGTGTGCAAAAGGCAGGGACAGAGTCTCCTCTATGAAATGGGGTTGGGGGGAGTGGGGGTACCCACAGCAGTGTGGGTACACATAGTAAGGATACACTACATTCCAGGCCCGTGCTAGGTGTGCTCTGTATGTAAAGGACACATGTTCCCCAGGGGGCGTGGTTATGCACAGGGACTACCTGGAGGTTTGAGGACATTGTGATCTCTTCTGGGACAGGCCCCAGAAAAGCTCCCCACAAAGACCCCCTAAGCCTCCGTGTGTGAGAGAGAGAATGAAAGAGAGCAAGTGAGGGAGGGAGGGAGAGAGAGATTAAAAGGTCGCCCACCTGGGTGTTCTGTGTGGGGATCTGGAGGACCAGGGCCAGCGTATTGTGGTCAAAGTTCTCGTCCAGGGCCAGCAAGGCACCATGCACTCCACTCTCGTGCAGGTTTCCTGCGTAGTCCCGGAGCCCAATGGACTGGACCCAATGAACCACCTGGTCATTGGTCCACACCAGCACATCTGGAGGGTGGGGGAAGAAAAGGGGCGGAAAGAAAGGGGGCCCTCTGGGGACAGAAATAGAGCTCCCGAGACCCACAGTCCCAGTCCACCTGTTCTCTGGTTCACACCCCACCCCCAGCTTTCCAGAGTTTTCTGTCCTCCCTGATACCTGGGCTCCTGGAGAACCAGCCGCACCTCACCCCATCCCTGCCAGCCTGCAGGACTTGGGGTCAGGCCCCCAGCTTTCTCCCCAGAGCCCCTGTACCGGTCAACCCCCTGCCCCAGACTGGAATGGCCTTCTTCCTATTCCTTCTGCCTTCAAGGTCTCCTCTAAGACCTGCCTCTCTTTCCCATCCAACCCCACCCAAACCACCAAGTACCACGAGCACACCAGGCCACAGCGCTGTCCTGGGGAATTCACTGCATCTGTCCAGCTGGTGGCCACTGTCCCATATGTGTGTGAGGGAGGGCGTGGACTGTCTCCCCTATCAAGCTGGGAGCCCCCTAAAGTTGGGGCTGCATCTTCACTCTCAGCTTTAGAGCTTCCCAGAGGCACAGATGCCTCCATCCCCACGCTGCCCAAGGCAGGAACCAGCAAGGCAGGCTGTTCCCGCACCGTTTAGGAGGAGGCCCCGCCCAGCCTCACAAGCTTACCCTTGATCTCGTGCTGGCTCTCCTCCCGCCTCTTCTCCAGCTCCTTCCGGTCATAATTCAGCCTCTTCAGACACATGATGCCATACTGAAGGCTGGATCTGCAGGCACACAGCCCCTGAGCCACAGCCTCAGGGGGGCCGTGTTCCCCCAAACCCCATCCCACATCCAGCTCAGCCACAGCACGAAGAGCACCCCAGCCCGCTCTCACTCTCCTCCTCTCTGCCCCGGGCTTACCCACGATCTATCCCAACACCTGCCCTGGCTGCTTCCCTCTCTCTGCCTACCCGATATCCTCCCTCTCAGCCAGGGAGCGGATGGGCCTGGGGGCTGACTGATGGAAGAAAAGTTCTTTAAATGAAATCAACATGTTCCTCCCCCTCCAGGCACTGGGATGGCAAAGTCCCCTACTACCCGCAAATCAAAGAAAAAGCAGTAACAAGATACTCCCTTGTGTGCCCATTTCATGCAGGGTTCTTACGATGCCTACAAGATGCTACACGATCTGTTCCCTAACCTGGCTGACCCCCTTGGCCACTCTCCCGCTCACTCTCACTGCTGCAGCCACACTGGCACCCCTGCTGTTCCTCAAACACAGCAGGCTTGCTAGGCCTGCAGGCCCCAGGGCCTTTGCACTGGCTGCTCCCCCTGCCAGAACACTCCTTTCCCCTAGTTTGCAGCATAGCCCACTCCTCTGTCTACCTTAAATCTTTGCAGAATTGTCACCTTCTCCATCCAATTCACTAGTCACCCTGTTCTTCAGATTTAAAACTGCAATATCATATCACCACCCCTGGCCACACTCCCAATCCCCCTTACCCTGGTCTAATTTTTTTCCTAGCACATTTCATCTATTAACATACCAAATATTCATTGCTCCTTGACCATCTCTTCCCATTAGAATGTAAGCTCATGAAGGCAGGGAACTTTGTTGTGTTTACTGATCTTAAACCCCCAGCACATGGTAGAGACTCTGTCAATGCTGCATGAATTAAATGAAATAATTCATGTAAACTACTAAAAGCACTTAAAACAGTACCCGGGGCATAGTAAGCACTCAATAACTAAGCCAGTCTGAGAACCACAGATTCTGTGCATTAAAAGGGACCCAGAGGAGGTCATCAGTCCAAGCTCCCAGCTAATACAGGAGTCACTTCTACATCATCCTTCAGAGTAGTCACTGACTCTGTGCTCGAATACTTCCAGTGACAGGGAACTTATTACCTCTCAAAGCAGCTCATTCTTTCTTGGAAAAATGGTAGTGTTCTTCCTTAACTTGAATACTACTTTGTCATTCAGCCTCTCTGGGTTCTTCCTTCTATGGAGGAATAGAAGGTCCCTCCCATCTGTAACTGCTTCGACTCTATTATTCAGGCCACTGCTTTGTGGTATCAAATCGTGTATACAGTCCCCTCCTTCTTTCCCCTCAGTTTTACCCAGGAAGCCCTTCTGCTAAAAACAGTTCCTCCCTCATAGGCCAGAGACACCCTGTCTAGGAGCCCTGTCCTGGCTCCAGCCACCCACGTATTGCTCAAGCCACTGGCGTAAACCGTGGCCCACTGAGAGGGGCACAGCACACACAACTCATGGCCGCAAATGCCTTCTGTCTAACTGCAATCTCATCTACTGTAATTTTCAGTCCAGTTCCTTTGACTTTCAGAGCTGTCGCACAGCATAGCAAAAATACAAGGTCCTTAAAGTTAGGTTAACCTGGGTTAACCTAACTCTCTGCCACTTATTAGCTAGGGGCACTCAGTGTGTGCGATGACGTCCCACCTGTCCCGCAGGTGAGATGAATGCAAGGGCTGGCCCAGCCCCCAGACAGCCACAGGCACTCGGTGACAGAGCCACTGTTAGGGTGGTGTTTCTGACTATCGCGTGTGCGGTCCCGTCACAACAGGAGCTCCTTAAGGAGCACCGTGTTCCCGGGAAAAGAGCTCTGAGTTGGGTGTCAAGGAACAAGGGTTTGAGCCCCATTCTAGAACCATCCAGCTGAGCGACCTGATGGAACTCAACCTCTCTTGGACTTGTTTTCTCTACATGTAAGAGTTTCTAAAGATCTCTTTCTTGCCATAAAAATCATGATCTGAAAGGATTTTTAGACATGAGAGCATGCTTGCGAAACGTTAGGTGGGCTAAGCACAGGTACAGCCCTCGCTGAGGTGAGGCACGCGAAACGCTTTAGAAACTCCGAGGCGCTCAACATGCGGAACTGAATCCAGGACCACGCGTGCGGGCCGGGTGGTCTCAGGGACCGGGCAGGGGGTGGCGGGCAGATTTCCACAGTGCTGGGCAGGGCCAGGCTGCCAGGCCCTCCAGCAGCCCAGGCACATCCGGCGTGGCGGGGAACGGCTCCTCCCGCAGCCCTATCAATCACTGAGCGGGGGACAGGTGCAGCTGGCCTGGCAGCCTCCCAGGCAGAGACAAAAGATTCCCTTTCAGCCCCAGTGGACTGTGGGGGTGGGGTGCGGAGGGGAGGACGCAACCTCCCCTCACAAGCCAGCCGCACGCTGGGGTTGGGAAGGCTGAGGGTTCCAGGACAGGAGGCGCTGCAGTGCGGTGGCCAGGGGCGCTGGACTCGAGTCGGCAGACATGGGTCCCACCTGTACTCTGCCGTCACCCCCAGGTGACACCGGGCTATGTTCCTTCTGATGCCTCAATTTCCTCATCCATAAAATGGGAGGTTAGCTAGATCCCTTCCAGATTTAACGTTCAAGGAACAGCCACAGAGCCCTGAGGGAACCTTGAAGAGCCACAGCCCAGCCCCACCCCTGGTCTCATTATCCACGCGAGGCAAAAGACCTGACTCAAAGAGCCACCTGTGCGACTGGAAGCTGGATGTTAAGAAGGACTTCCTGAACACCGTCAACTCCTGGAATGGTTCCCGCCCACGGCGCTCCCCGACACAAACGCCTGCCTGCCGAGACCAGGCAGGTGAGGGAGGCCGCTGGGGGCCAGCAGGCCCTGGGGCAGCCCACCCACCTAAGAGAGCACTGTCCACTTTCGGCAGGTTGTTCCCATGCACGAATGTGCTGACAGAGCTTTCCATTTTCCAAGAGGAGCCAGAACTCCAGAATTTTGTGTAAAATCTCCTACTGTTGAAATACTGGCAACTAAATTTGTAATTTTTAAAATGCATGTGGGCCAAACATAATACATCTGTGGGCCAAATTCTGCCCACGGGCTGCCAGTTTGGGACCTCTGCCGCAGACACAGAACATCAGACCGTTGAACAGAAGGTCTTTTCAGCATAGAGGAGAGGACTGGATGACATCCTGTATAAAAGGATGTGAGCTCAAAGCCAAGAGGCGCCAATCTGGGATGTTGGCAGGGCAAAGGCCTAGAAAGACCTTTCCCTTGACTTGGAAGGAATGAGACTCCTAAATTAAACACTGGGTTCAGTTTGCGTCTTCTCAGGGTAAACACAGAGGACTCAGCAAGCCCAAAGACAAGCAATGACATTCAAACCTGGGGGGAAATCTCAAAGAAGGTGAAGCTAAAGAGAAATGACATTTTGTGTCTTAGGGTTAGAGGTAAGAGGATCAAACCCTCCAACTGTAGGATAAGACAAGGATTCAACAGGGAGGTTTGCCCAGCAGGGAGACCTGTTACCACCCAGAACAGGCCATGGAAAGAGACAGAGCACCTCTGTCGCTGGGGACAGACCCCCAGAGTTGGGGGAGACCCATGCTGGGGAGGTGGCCCTGGGCCCCAGCCTCACTCACCGATGGAAGCTGTCCACCATCTTCAGGTGGACGCGCAGGTCCTTCTTGGTGAGGTGATCCAGCATGCGAGCGTCCACCAGGCACTCCATGAAGTAGCTGCGGTACTGCGGCAGCCCCAGGCTGGGCAGCCATTCGTTCCCGATCCACTCGTGGTTCATGTCCCCATAAGCCAGGGTCTGCGGGAACAAGAGGAAGGAAGCCGTTGGGGAGGGAGGCAGAGCCAGCAGGTTGCAGCTGGCTCATCTGGTTGGGAGAAACATGAATCCATCCTCCACCCATGAGGGAAGAAGGGCAGATCAGTAAGATTTCAGTTTATCTTCACTAAGAGACCAGTCACGATGGGAGGTGGGGATTTTAAACGGAACTTTTTAAGATCTCTAAATGATACGGTTCCACTCCCGTATCAATTATCCACACTAATGAACAGAAGCAGCTCTCCAGGCAGGACATGACATGAATCCTTCCTGTGGACTCTGGAACGCATTTGCGGTGTTGGGCAGCAGACTTGCCTTCCTGATTCTCAAAGAGCCTCAGGCCAGCTGAGCCCAGGAGAGAGGCTGTGTCACAGAGGACCTGCAGTGTGGCAAGGGACGCCAGTCTTGCTCTGAAAACGGCTGGCCTCGCCCAGTCCATAGGAAGTTACGTGTTGGCTGGAGACGGAGAAAAATAAAGGGCAGTGGCCTGTGTCTGAATAACCAGCACTCAGTTCTCCAAGGCCTGGTTCTCTACTCCAGGAATTCTCCAGGTCCTCTGTTGCTTGCCCAGGTGCACCCTCTGCCTGGCTCTGCGAGACCTGCCACTCGGACGTGGCCTCCTGGCGCAACCAGGGTGCTCCTTGAGCACCCATCCTCAGAAAGCTCTAGTTTTCCCAGTGGCCCTTCATCATGCTTTCCTTGCCCCACTTGATGTTTTTAGACTGAAAAGTTTTCTGTTATCTTTTTTTTTCCTTAAAAGATTAGGTCTCGCTATGTTGTCCAGGCTGGTCTCAAACTCCTGGCCTCAAGCCTCAAGCCTCCTGCCTTGGCCTCCCAAGTAGCTGGGATTATAGGCCTGAGCCACCATGTGCTTGGCTATTTTGTTCTTTTAGAACGTAATCATTGCTACATACATAACTACATATAACATGTGTTCATTATTAAGCATGAAAATGAAGCCAGCACCTATGGGCGCCGTCTAAGTTAGGCAGCAGAGCATCACCCACGGTCACGCCCACCCTCCTGCTCTCCTTCCCCTTCAGGTCTCCTGCTGCCCCCCTAAGAGGTAACCACGGTGCTGAGTTTTCTATTTTTCCCTGGGTTTTAAAAAATTGTTTTATGGTTTTTACAATCACCAACATATATTTCTCTAAACAATATATTATTAATTTTGTTTTGCTTGGTTTTGAGTTATGGTATCTGTGAATCTTTTAGAATTTGCGTTTTTCATTTGACTTGTATGTCTCAGGTCTCTCTATCTCCTGTGCTGACCAGGGTTCCGTGTGAAGGTGCAGCAACTGATTCACTCAGTCCCCTGCCGACCGAGTCTTCCCGGTCAGCATAAACGCTGCTGCCCCGTGCTTCCGTCTTCTTCCCGGCTCCCATCACTACCTGCTGTTGTCTCTTTATTAGTTTATTTATTGAGATTGCCTTTTCTATCTCTATTGATATGGCTTGTTTATTGATATTATCCCTTTTTGTTTCCTGATCCATGAGGGCTTTATTTGTTCACTTCTGTATCCAGAGAGCCTAACACCTATATTTGCTCAATAAATATTTGCCCATTAAATGAATGAATGAAAGTCCTTTGCTCAGTTCACCAGGGGTACCTCCTGAGAGGGACAGGGAGAGGAAGAAGGTCATACTAATACAGTCTCATTATTTCCGGGAAAAGAGTCAAACTGAGGAGAAGGGCCAGGAACGCAGGGGCACAGCCCTCCAGGGCTCCTCACCTGCCTCCCTGAGAAACCAGAACAAGTAGCTAAAGGCACGGGAGTGAGGTGTGCTGGCAGGAGAAGGGAACCTGAGTCCAGGGCTCTCAGCGTGAAGAGGGACTGAAACCCAACTGGAGTGAGAGTCCTGCCGGGGAGAGGACCTATGAGAAGAAGACTGCTCTGAACTTCTGGGAGTTGGTTCTAGACCCTGGCAGGGAGGCTTACCTGAGCCCAGCTGCCCTCCTCACTGTCCTAGCAGGAACAAGGCAGCGTGTCAGGAGAGACAGGCAAAGTCAAGAAACCTGGCGGCCTCTACCCCCAGCCCCATCAAGGAGAGGGAAAAGCTGCCCCAGCATCTGGGTGGGTGACGAGGGTGAGCTTGCTGGGATGGTTAAGAGAGAACAGAAGGCTGATGTGTGCGCCCGTGTTTGCGGTGACAGGGTGGCAAATGTGTGTGTGGCGAAAACACACTTCCATGCCTCCCAGGCTGGAGTGGGAGCCAGGCAAGACGCCAGGCTGTCCCAGCCCTTCCTGTTCCTCCACCAAGGATCGAGTACAGGGGCAGGGACTCTGGCGCAGGCCCAGGGCCAGGACAAAGCCCTCCCAGCCCACCTCTCCTCCCCTGCAGCACACCAGCGGCCCAGGGTAAGCTGTGACCCTCTGGAACAGCCCACACACACACCAGCTGCTCCCAATCTCAGCCCTCTCCCCACAACCCTCCACCCTGAGAACAGAACCTGATCACACATCAGGGATATCAATCTCATGTTCGATCCCCTGCAACCCCCTCTGACTTCCCACAACCCTCCCCTCATCCTAAGGGGAGTCATTAGTCCTAACCTCAGGCCCAGGGAAAAGGGCCAAGGGCCAGACTCACTGTTTTAGTAGACGTTGCCAGAGTTTCCATCTCTTCATGGGTGACCCAGACGTTCCCAGAAGACTGCAGGCAGAGAGAAAACCTAGCTGGTTCTGGGTGTGGGCCCCAGGATCCCCATTAGGCCGGGGACCCCCAAAATAAGGACAAAACTCCCTCCCCCTGAGTCCTCCCACAGGCCCACCCCAGAGCTCTGCACACTTTCCAGCTCTGAGCAACTTGATGCTTAGCACGGTACACGGCACACAGAAAGTTTTCAGTAAAGGTTTCCTGGATGAATATGAATGAATGACGCTGATCTGGAATGTGGGCTGACTCCAGTCACAGAGATGGACAATAACAAAAGATTTTACCCTGAGGGTCAAGGGAGCAGCCTGCATTCTTTCTTGTGCTGAGGTTAGAGGACCAGGACTGAATTCACAAATGCCCTACTCCCTCTGTTTCCCCCAACCTGGCAACAATACAAAACCCCAGAAGATCCATCCTAGAAACTCTGTCCAGAGATCTGGAATTATTGGCAGGATAGAGATGCAGAAAGGGAGACCACGGGTGGTATGTGGGAGGCAGGTAACCAGGCCTGCTGGGACCCTCCTAGAGTCAATGTCACACCCTCCCGAAGACCAGAGACAGCCCTTTGTGAGAATAGGAAGGAAGGGGCAGAGCTCAAGGTTACCATCTTCCCCAAGCCCAACGGGAGACTTTGCAAACACTATCCCAAGGCCTCTGAAAATGTCCTGGGTGAAGGAGAGGCCACTCACGGTCCTGGAGGTGGGCGGGGCGGAGGGGCTAGTCAGCGACACCATCTCCTGGATGGCCAGCCGGAGCTTGAGCCGGTGCAGGGCATTGCTGATGCCAATTTCCCGCTGGATCTCTGTGTCCGACAGGGCAGACATGATGGCACCACTCTTGACGTTGGCCCGGCAGGCTGCCACGTACCAGGCAGGCATCCCCACCCAGAGCTGCAGACATGGGGCACAGAAGAGCAATTCAGCCCTTTCCCTTGAGACCGCAGCCCCCCTGCCAAGAACTTGGCAATACCAAGGGGCAAGGGCCAGCCCTCGTCCATGAACTCAGTACAGCAAATGCAGCACACAGGAGTGCAGAGATAAGCATCATCAAATCCCTCTCTTTCTCATTTTGCCGAGTAAAAATCTGAGGCCTGGGAAGGTGAAGGGATTTTCCCAGCGTGGCATGGGTGATTAGTTCCTGCAGGTAGCCTATAAGAAGAGTCAAACTGCCTGTCAAAGTCTAAAGCATCGGTGGTTAGTTCCCCCTATCCAAACTTAGCTGCCCATGAAGCATCAGTAAGTGGCATCAATTTTGTCCTCCACGGAGCTGGTATGTGTGTTTGCTGGGGGAGGGGCTAAACGGCATATGGCACTTGGCAGAGGAGAAACATGCCGGGAAAGTTCTAGGAACACCACCTCCTCATCCCACGCCACATGTCCTTCCTTCCAGACCCCTAAGTGGCCTCCCCTTGCCCAGGCTCACCTCCAGCCAGGAGACCACAGTGGGGCCATCCCACTGGGCAAAGGGCATTCCTTTCCTGCGGGCATCTTCAAGCAGCTGGTGCCTTGTAGGAAGAGGAAGAAGGGAGTCACTAGCCCTTCCTTCTCTCTCAACCATGCTTGCTCCTGGGGACCACTGGGCCATGCCAACAGTTGGAGTCCTACTACCCCTGCTCCCCACCCTTGGATTTCCTCTGCTCTGTACCTGAAGCAATGTGACCCGAAGAAACGGGGCAGGAACAGCTCTCCATCCCCAGAAGGCAAGCACCTCTTACTGTGTTTGCACACGACCTAACACACCAACTTAGCTGTTTTGATCTGCCCTGCCAGAGACCCACAGCCCCCAGGTCACTCTCCCACAGCCCGCTTGCCTCTTTCTCTCTAGGGACACCATAAGAGCTGTCCCCAACCCTGTTCTGCCCACATGGGCCAGGCCAACTCAGTTCAGAAAAGGCCTAGCTGGGCTCTGGCTCCCTGAGCTCAGTGCCATGCAGCCCAGAGGAAGGAAAGTGGGTGGGGGCGCTGGGCACCCCCTGGGCAGAGCATGGCCTGTGGCTCTTACTTCTTCTTCAACCGCCGGTCCTTCTCTGCCTGGGTCCCCAGTTTGGCAGGCACCATGGGCTCCTGCAGACTGAGCTCGGAGTCTGTTAGCAGAACTAGAAGGGAAGAGATGGCTCTGTCAGCCAGGCCCTCCTCTTCTCCTTCCTCCCTTGGCCTAGACCAGGGATGGCAGAAGCAGCAGCGGGAGGCTCCTCAGCACAGGACAACCCAGGAGGGCCTGATGGGACCACTCATTACTCCTGGAGCCTCTGCTCAACGTCCCTGCATCCAGGTAGTCTCAGAGTGGCACCAAGTATGTCATCCCCAGCCCAGAGAGTTCCCCCTGGGAGCCTCAGCCCTGGAGGTGTTTTCCAGCCAGGGGGACCAAAGTTGTCCTACCCTAGACTCCTAGACAGAACGTGTTCTGCCTCCAAGCCAAGGTACAAAGAACACCCAGACAGCCAGACATGAGCGGGCTACAAGGCTGAGAGAGAAGGATCACCCTGACTTGGGCCAGGGGTGGCAAAACTGGCACATGGAGAGACGTCTCTCTCGGCCTCCAACTCTGGGTGCTCTCCCTCGCACAAACTGCAAAGGGGAACGTGTGTAGCTCTGTCTTCTTCTACAAAGGATCTCCTCGAATCCGTGCCAGAACCCTACAGAATTCGTGGCAAGGGGCAGAAGCTTAGAATTCATTTAAGTACTGGTCACTGCCCACAGTGCACAGTGGCAGCAGGTGTGGGTCACCCAGAAGCCAGTCTGAGCTGCCGTCTTAGGTTCATGTGCCAATGTGGTGCGGGGAACACGGGAAATCATACAGCTTCACACAAAACACCTGTCCCCCGACTGGACCTTGCGGCTTCCTGTCTGTGGCCACTCCACAGCTGCCCTCACCCCTGCAGACTCAGCTAGCACTCAGCTAGCTGTGTTCTGATTCACATCTTCCAAGGTGCAGAAAAGTATAATTATGCATTTGGGGTCCAAAGGGTCCTTTCTTCTAGATGATCAAGTTCTTCCCCTGCGTGAAACGCATCAGTGCTCACCCTGCCCCAGGGGGACTTCCGAACCTCTTCAACAGAGGCCACGAGGCCCTCCCGAGCTGGCCCAGCCTGGCTGTCCAACCCCACCTCCCCACTCCTCCCACCCTTTCTTCTCCACTTTGAACACACCTAAGTACAAAAAAATTCTCACACCCACAAATCTCTCCCTCTCCCAGGCCACCCCCTTCCCCTCACACAGACCCCCTCCTTGGCCTGGCTAATTCCCATCTGATGGCCTTCTAGCCTCAGCTCAGGGGTTGCTCCCAGAGGAAGCCGTTCCTGTTGCCCCCGCCACTCCTTGGCCAACTTCTGAGTTCCAGAAGCACCCTGGGCATATTGCTCCCATGAGATTGCTTTGGAATCATCTTTATTTTTCCCTTTTCGTTACATACTGAGCTCCTTTAAGGAATGAACTATCGCTTCAACACCCATTACTAAGCCACACAGCAGTTACTCAATAAATGTGTATGGAACAAATGACTAAAAAGATGACAGAAAGAAAAGGAGAGAGCAGGGGAAGGAAGAAAGGAAAAAGAAAGAGAAGAGAGGGGGACAAAGAAAGCCACCATTTACTGTGTACCCATAACCCGCCACGCACACACTAGAACTCTACATTATCACAGAGGTCATAATGATGTTGCCTTGCCCAAGCACACTCTTGAATTTAACATCTACAAAGCTAGAATTAAGTGTTATAATAATATTTTGAGTCCTGGAGGCCAGATTTACTAGAAACAAGCTCCAATCAAGACCTGACTTTTCCAAAGAAAGAATCAAGAATCTCCCAAAGATGCTAGCACAGTACAGCAGAACACCTCCCCACTGGCAGACACTTCAGAGGCTCAATCTTCCCCTCGATACAGGAAACCACTGACCCACAGCATGACAAATACAGAGCCATCCAGCCGCTGCCTGACGCCCCTAGTGGCAGGAGCTCACCATCTGACAGCAGTCCACCCCACCGTGAAATAGCTCTGCCTGCCTGAGGCTTCCACCCACTGGTCCCTGGGAGGCAAGCAGGAAGGCCAGATCCGAGTACACCCTCCTGCTTCTGGCACCCCTACGCCCGCCCAGACCTCTGCTTGGAAGGGGACAGAGACCATGGCCCGTGGCACCATCCCGACTCAGCTGGATCAGCCTGCCCTTCTCCTTCTTCCCAAACAGGCGGCCAATGGACGACTTGATGCCCTTGCGCTTGGCGCCCTTGTGCAAGGAGTCCTGGCTGCTGTTGCTGCTGCTGGGGTTGCTGCCCTGATCCTCCAAGGCACTACAGGATGACAGCCAGGAGAGGTGGGATAAGAAGAAATATACTTAAGTTACAGCAGGAGAGATGGAAGTGAGACCTCAGGAAGTGTCAGAATTGGGGTGAGGGCGAGGGGGTATGATCAGAGCAGGTGACTAAGGGAGACATGGGAACACTCTTCCTGGATGGCGTTTCAGAAAGAAGTGAGATATTCAGGTGCCTGGTACAGGCAAGACACAGTCCCTGCAGAGGCAGAAGGAGGGATGAGGTGACCTGGGGATGGAGAGACTAGAGGTCTCCCTTACCTCTTGCCTTCCTCCTGGCTCAGGGCTGGGTGGCCAAGCTTCTCTAGCCGCAGCGTCCTGGGTGAGGAAGGAGGAGAAGTCTCACATTTTATGGTGGCTTTATCCTCTCGGTTCTCTTCCCGAGACACTGGCGACTGAACAGACAGTGGAGCCGTCAGGGGGTAGAGGGAGAGATGTCGGGCCTGCCTACCCAGCCCAGAAGAGGCAGAGGAGCGTGGAGAAACGCAGTGGGGAGGCCCTGGGCGCCTCTCTGAGTTCAGACTCAGACTCAAGGGCCTGGGGGGAGAAGCCGAAAGGGAAGGGCCTGGGAGCCACGAACCCGTTAGCACCTGGACACCAGGCAGCACTCACCAGCAGCTTCCTCCTATGCTTTCTCAAGTCACTGGGCTGGAAGAGAGAGTGAAGGGTGAGCTGGACCAGGCGCTGGATGCCCTTAAGCCAACCCCAAGAGGAGCCCAGCGGTCTTAGGATGAGAAGACAGGATTCAGTGCCTCACACAGGCCTGGGGAGAATATCACATCAGAAAAAAGCCTGGCCTGGAAAAGCAAGCCAGGGCTCCCTCTGGAAGAGAGGAATGGGTGTGGGCAGTGGGGAGTTTCTTAAGCATTCTGGGCTCATCCAAAGGAGATGACAAGGAAGGTACCACACGGGGCCTTTCCAAACCCAGGACAGGCCACTGGCCTGACATGCTGGGGCCTGCACACGTCGTGGGAAGAAGATGCCAGTCCCAGCTGAGAGAAGGTGAGCTACCGTCCCCTATAACCTCCCCCAGTGCCGAGCCCAGTGGCGGCAGTTCCCTCTCACCAGGGTCATGACCCCCATTCGGTCCAGGTCCTGGGCAGCGCTGCGGGAGGTAAGCTTAGGTGTGGAGCGGCCGCTGAGTGGGGGGGACGCGCTGGCCAGCGACAGAGCGGTCAGGGAGGTGGGGATGGAACTGCGCTTGCGCAGCTGTGTCAGGTTTAGGGCCTCCATGCTGCCGCTGGTCACGCGCGTCTCAATCTCCTCAGCGCGGAGCTCCGTGGACTCCTTCTCTTCCTGAATCATCCTGGAAGGTGGGCAAGACCAGACCTCGCCACGAGCCCTGGCAAGGACCGGCAGGAGGCAGAGCTCGGGGATGCCCGCACCCACCACCCCACGACCACACACGGACGGCAACGCCCGTTGCTTCTGGCGTTGCCGGGATGGACACGCTCTAGCAGGCACGCTAGGTTTTATCCCACTGGAGCTGAGAAACATGTCTCTCTTGTTGGCTGGCCCACCGCCCCCACCCCGGTTTAGCAAAAGCAGTTGCTGGGGAAGGCGGCGATTTGGTCAGTGGAACACAAACCATCCTGGAAGTCAGACTTCTTGTCCACTTCTTAGCCACTAACCACAGGCTGACCTGGAGTCAGGCATTTGGCTCCCTGTGCCCTCTGACCCCAACACATGCAACGTCTGGAGCGGTCTAAGTCATTTCCCAAACAGGAACTTTTAGCCGGTGCTGACCCCCGATGGGTTTTCCTTGTTCCGTGTAAAAATGAGAGAAGTAACGAGAACAGCACGCATGTGTGCACAGGAGGCACTCAGCAAGGAGTGTGTGTGCCACACTCACACGCACACATGCTGACGTAAAGGTGCCAACCCCCTTTCACGAAGAAAGGACTTTATTCTGAGAGTCTTTCCTACTTTCAGGGATGTTAAAATGGCCTTTCTTTTGCAGAATGATTGAGAAAGTAAATGGCAGTTATCTTTAATGTCTCACTTTGCAAAACAAAGAGTTGGTGGCCCTATGTTAGTACCCTTCTGTGTGTATGTGTGTGTGAGTGTGTGTCTTTGTAACCGGTCTGTGAAACCCAAAAGTCTGGGAACCATTAAACTAGATGACCTCCACAGCTCATAAAGTTCAAATAAAATGTGGCTCAGATTTCCCCTTGCTGTTTGTCATTAAACATTAATAAACTCATTAAAAAGGCAGGATAAAGGGAAGGTTTTCCCAGCTTTCCCTGCCACTGTTTCTGTTTGATGCCTAGCTGTAGACAGGAGGCCTCCCACAGAGGACCAGATTTCGACTCCAGTTTGAACACTGGCTCTGCCACTTACTGTACGGCTTTCAGCAGGTCACGTAACCTCTCTGAGCTTCTGTTCCCTTGTCTGTGAAACAGGGATCATGCTGCCCACCTCCAGGACTGTGCTAAGACTGACAGTCGCATTTGTAAGCCTCTCACCCTGAGCTGGCCTCGATAAGTGGGAGCCACACTCTTGGTGGTTACGATCAGCTGCAGGAGCTGCAGGTCAACCTCCATCCGCCCAAGTCCGGTCACATCACCAGCCCCAAAGGGGAAGATGAAGCCTGACAAGTCTATTTGAGGCCCTGCCCCTCTCGGTCCAGCACTAGACCAAAACCTTGCCTGATGCCCCACAGAGGGTCCCTAGACTGTGGCACTCTAAAGTGGAGCTTTGAGAGATGAGCAAATAACTCGCAGGATTTTCCTGTGGTTTTCCCAAACACAGAGGGCCCCAGCCTTCACGGCTTTTCCCAGGCCTTCCACCCCGTCCGAACCTGATCTCCTCGTTGATGGCATCCAGCTGCTCCTGTAGCATCATGGCCAGGGTCTGGGCATCTGAGTGGCCACTGGGGGAGGCGACATCCACGGAGCTCACCAGACCCCCTGGCTCATCCTCATCCACGTCAGAGATCTCAGGGTCACTGTCAAAGGCAGGGGCAGCCGTGGAGGCCAGCACCCCAGGCAGTGGAGACGGCTCCCAGTCCTTAGCAAAGAAGGAGGGTAAATTAGTAATAATAAGACACCCCAGATAACTGCAAAACAGGATGCTCCCCACCTCTACCCAGCAGCATTGCCATCGCCTGGGAGCTGATTAGAAAGGCAGAAGCTCAGGCCACACTCCCAGACCTACTGATCCAGAATCTGCATTTTCACAAGATCCATGGGTGATTTCTTTGCACATTAAAGCCTAAGAAATACTGCTCTAACTACTTCAACAACTAGCTAGCAGAGTAGTTTAAGAACAGATTCCAAAGAGAGACAGCCTTAGCTTAAATCTCGGCACCACCAAACACTGGTTGTGAAGCTGTGGGAAAGTTGTTCTAACGTCTTCATTTGTAAAATGAGGGTAATAAGAGTATTTCATAGATGGTTGTGAGGATTAAATGAGGAAATGCACGTGAAGCCCTTAGCATAGTGGCTGGCACAAAGTAAGCACTATATAAAAGCCATCAGTTTCTATTCAAACTCACAAAGGGCAACTAGATCCAGGGAACAAGAAAAGGCCAGGCAGGCCTGACTGTCTCCTAGAGTTAGACCTCATTACAGGGCACTCTGGTTAACCGGGAGAGGCAGCAGTTTCTCAGAAATCATCCTACAAGCCTCTTCGGTGGACAAAGGCCCAGAAGATGAAAGGGCAGAGAACTAGGCCAGGAAAGCCAGTCGAGCAAAGAAGAAAGGAAGGGGACCAGGGACAAAGAGGTACTCTAACACCATCCTCTATGACCAAAGCCCCCCTGACTCCCCCTAGGGCTCTTCTAGCTTCTGCAGCCTTTAGTCTGAGCTCCAGGGCAGCCACCGTGTTCTTATAGACAGAAAGCGTAAAGGAGTAAGGGCAGAGAAAAAAAGTGGTGGCTTCAGACTTTGCCCCATCAGACTAGGGGTTTCTTAGATGAGTCTTCCCCTGGGACTAGGAGTTTCCTCTTTCTCCACTATATCCTCTAATGTCCCAGAGCATTTACAGGACTTGGGCTCAGGATAGAACATGATTAACAATTATGGGACCAGACTTCCCCTAAAGATTGAAGTCAGCCCTTCTCTGCTCCCTATCTCCCCTGATTCCCCCCAGTCTCCCTAGGCAGACTCAGACAGAATGAACGTACAGCTGCTTCTCAGAAAATTCCCGGTACCATCCCAAGGGCCAGTTAACCTGTCATCCCTCCCTCGTCTCCCCCATAAACCAGCTTTTGTTCCAGAAAGCTTGCCAATTCCATCTCACCCCTGCAGCCCCCGCCCTGACCACCAGAAACACACGCCTGCACGCCCAGGCACACGCACACACACTTCAGTGGGGCCCCAGGGACCAGCTGGCTGCCCGCCAGCCCCCACCACTTGCCCACCAGGAGGCTGAGGCAAGAGGGGGCACAGCTGTTGCAGCTGACAATGGCCCCAACCCCAGGGCTGCAGCTGTCGTTGACACTGGGGGAGGACAGGGGAAGGATTTGCCCTGCACACCAGCCGTCTGTGTAACTGGAGCCCGGCACGCGGCTGAACTGACCCCAAACTCCCGGAGGAGGGCCCTCCACGCTCACCCCTGCACCCCCTCACCTTGGCAGGCTCTTCCCTCAGTGCCGAGTAGCGGCGATGCAGAGCTGGGGCTGCGTGGGTGGCTGTGCTCAGGGAGAACCGCACGTCCGCTGCACTGCCCATGTGTGACCTTGAGCGGTGACCCGCAGAGGGAGAGAAAAGATAGGCCCTGAGGACTGAGCACCCCAGGTCACACCTACCGGGCCCCAAGAGTCGAGGGATCTTCAAGAGGGATCTCCCAAGAGTTCAGAGAAGTCTTAGCGGGACACAGAGCTATTGTAAGCGTCTGAGGGGCTGCCACGTAAGCAAGAGAGGAGACTTATTCTCTGGTGCTCCAGGGGTCAGAATGAGCCAGAGGAGAAAGTTCTAGGGAGCAGCTTTCCATTTAGGAAGGATCTTCTAATAGCAAGAGTTGGCTTATGATGCAACTGGTGGCTTTTAAAAAGCTGAGCTCCTCATCACAGAGGTATTCATGCAGGGGCTCTCTGGCCGCCCAACAAGAATGGTGCAGGAGGGCTCCAGGCATTAGGAGAGGTTGGAACGGATGATGTCTAAAGGTTCTTTTCACTCTGAGGGTCTTCATTTCTTGGTCTTCTCCCTGTTACCTTTCCTTGGGTCTCCCCATAATCTGGACTGAGCCCCTGGCTAAAATTCAACCCAGGCACACCCCCTATCCCCAGGATGCTTTGGGAGGCCCTAATACGGCATCAGAGACATAGGCTAGAGAAACCATTCTGACTGCCCCAAGAGTCTACTGCAACCCTGAGGTTTGGGATTCCCAGAAACAATCATCTGGAGCATCTAGAAGTCTCCCTTCATGACACTTCTTCTCCATGCCTTCCCAGCTTGGAACCCTTAAGGGAGCCCAGAACAAAGGAACAGCCTGCACGAGATAGCTGAAGAGACAGGGCAGTTCCTGCCTATCCCACCCCCTGCAACTCCGCCCCAGTTCCATGATGGGTCCAGAGATTCTACAGCCAAAGCCAAGAATTCCCAACTATTAAGGAAAGCGAGCTGTGGCAAACGGCTTGGTGTACTCTGCCTGGGCCATGTCTTACTAAATGAGGGGTTGTCCCTTAGGGTCAACCTATATAAAGGGAAAAGTAGCAGACAGACTATTATCTTTCTCCATTCTCTGTCTTCACACTCCTGTACAATAACTCCTGATTAACTTGAGTTAGGTGGTCGGCACTTAAGTCTCTACCACCCCAGACACTTGCAGGCTTCTCTTCTTCAAGCTCAATGTCCACTTCTCTAATTCAAGCACTACCTCTCAATTCAAGCACTACATATATATATATGCATATTTCCTCCAGTCTTTCTTCCTTGTGGCAGCTGATCCCTGACACAGCAAGAGCATGATCAAAGGGAACTGCAGCAGCTCTGATCTAAGAGACATAGGTTTAGAAAGAAAACAGCCAGAAGCCATGAACCCCGAGTGGCATCATCCACTTCGGCCTCCTTGATCTTCACCCTACCTCTCTGGCCTGAGAATGGAGGACAGGCTTGAGGTCTGAGTGCAATGCCAGCTGCTTCACAAAATGGGGAGAAAAATCCAGAGGTTGCCTGAGACACAGGCCTAATTCAAGCCGTAAGAGGAAAGCTGCACTCACCATCTCCTAAAACGTCTTCGGGAAAAGGGATGCCACAGCCATGGGAGTAACACGGCATCTCAACTTCCAGTAAGGAGGTTCTGGATGCCTCATTTCAATCTCTCCTGCTGCCTTTCTGCCAGCTACCTGGACTTGGGTGGCCCTCGACTCTCAAGAGAACAACAGTGAGCCCACTCTCTACCAGCAGGGCCTATGGGGCACGGCAAGCATGGAACTCAGCAGGCCCTTCCCAAGGGCACACCTCTGTCAAGGAAGCAGGAAGCCTGGGCTGTGTCCCACGGCAGAGGGATCCTTCCATCCCGCACCATCTCCATTGTCTGCCTCTCAGCAGCCCTCAGAGGACAGGTGCTCCCTTCCACACCGCCCAAGTGAGCGGGGTACTTTGACCAAGTCCTCCAAGCCTCAGTGCCCACCCTGAATAGGAGGAGGGCCCTGAGGTCCCAGGTGGTCTTTTGGTGGGGGGAAATCTCCTTCCTCAGGGTCCAGCTAGGACCCCGGCCCAGCATGCCCAGCCTCCCGCGCTCCCGTACCTGGCGTGGATGCCATCCACAAACGGCCCCCCTCGGCCCTTCAGCTGGTCCACCTCTTGGCGCAGCTTCTCAATCTCTTCAGACAGGCGGCCCTGTGCCAGGCAGACCCGGGATGTGGGCGGGGGCCAGGGAGGGGCAGACAGGAAAGGGCGGGAGTCAGAGAGGGACAAAGAGGACAGCAGAGTTGGGGAGAAGCAGAAGAACGCACTGCGAAGTCCCAAGCCGGGCCCCAGGCCAGGCCCGCAGATGACACCACAAGAGAAGAGGTCCAACCGGAAAGTGAGCAGAAGGTGGGCGGGGGCAGGGCCAGGACAGGGGTGTGTGGGGGAAGGACTCTACTGGAACAGGCCTGCGGACCTCTCACCACCGCACAAATGCATGGCAAACTGGGCTGGGCAGGCAGCACCGGGCCCTGGTGACCTTCCTCCCAGACTCAGAGACATTGCTGAGGCCGGACGGTGGCTAACCTCCCAGAATCTCCAGACTCTTGCCTTGCCAGAGTTTGAGGCCCCCACTAAATCCCTGGATTGAGCTCTTCACGGGGCCCTGCCTCTCTGCTGCCCACCCTATGCCCTATGCTTATGGCCTCAGTTTCTTCTTTACCTGCGGGTGGTAATGCATCTACCGTGACAGGCTACAGTGAAGAATAAGGTAGTAGCGTATGCACGCAGACCGACACAGACGCTAGCACAATGCCAGGGATCGGAGCAGCTTTGCTCGGGCACCCTGCCCTCCCAGGCCGGCGGGGGGTACCTTGTGGTGGTGCTGCTCCTCGATCTGCCGCTGCGAGCTCTCTAGCTCCTGCATCAGCGTGTTCTGGGGGAAAGCGGCTGTGAGCCGGCCCCCACCCCCGCCGGCCCCCAGCCCCCGCCTCGCTCTCCCAGCCGCCGGGACCTGACCCTCCAGGGTTGCCCGCCGCTCCCTGGGGGACCCACAACCCCATCGAGGCCCCACCCAGCCCCAACCCCACCCTCCGGGCACCTTCTCCTCCAGGGCGGCCATGCGCTCCTTGAGGTGGAGCTGCAGGCGCTCGTTGGATTCACTAAGCAGCCGGTCCACGGTGTCTGACAGCCGCTTGTTGTGGTCCTCGTTCATCTTCTCCCGCTGGCGCACCTGCACAGCTAGCCCGCCTCGCACCAGGCCACCCCAGGGCCTTGGCCCTCACCAGGAGCAGTCCATTCCCGCTAGGGTTGCACGCCCCTCCCTGGTCCTTGCCTTGCCCTCTGGGAGCCCCTCTCCAACTCTCCCGACCACCAGCTCCTCCCCCACCCGCCGGCCTCCTCCCTGGCTCTGTGGCTCTGTCCCTGGCCAGGCCATCCTCCATGCCCCTTCCATAGACCATCCTGGGAGCCTACCCTGGGGGCAGGGAGGGGGCCTGAGGGCCCAGCCCGGTGCCCTCACCCTTGCCAGCTCCTGGTTCTTCTCCTCCAACTGCCCCTCCAGCTGCCGCAGGTGCTCCTCAATGTTGCCATGCCGTTCTTCAGCCTAGGGGCAGGGGTGGGTCGGTGCAGCCTGTAGATCTCCCTGTTCCTCCTGCTCAGGCTCAAATCCCATGCACCCTGGTGCCAGGGTGGCCTTGGGGATCAGGGCCTCAGACACCCATGAAGCCCGGCCTTCACCCATCAATGATCTTGGAGCAGAACTGCAATCCCTACTGCCTTCTTCTCAGGCACCCTGACCCCTGCCAGGTCTCCCCCACCTCCTCCCTGCTCAAGGCTAGCCTTAAAACATCCTGGGGCTGGCAGCTCAAGAGATTATAAATCTTCCTCATGCTTCTAGGAAAAAACTCCACTTGAAAGCATGAGCTACCATAAATCTCCTCTATGCCTCCAGATAGATGGAACCGCACTTAAGGGCATGGACTCATGCCAGACTGCCCAGGTTCAAATCCTGGCTCCCTCTCTTACCAGCTGCGTGACCTTGGGCAAGTTACTGAACTTCTATGTGCCTTAGTGTCCTTAATGATAAAATGTGGACAATAACAGCACCTGTGCCCACTGGACCACTACAAGGACTACATGAAATAATCCACTGTAAACACTTAGAACACAGTAAGCACTCAACAAACGCTAGCCTAGCCATTGTTGTTAAGCCTTTGTTGTTAAAACTAGCCCAGGTGGAGCCGTCTCCCTTTCCATGCATGTGTCTCCAGAAATGGAGACCCTACTGTCTCTGCTGACAATATATTCTAGAATATTACACATCTTACAGTCAGGAAATCCTTAAAATCTTCCTGCTTTGACTCATTTGAACATACTCATCACTTCGGCCCCTCCCTTCTTGTCAGTTTCTGGGTGATACCAAAGCTGGCAGCCCAGCACCCCGCACATGACATCCTCTGCTGTGATCTAAACCCGGCCCTGCATTCCTACAGGCTGGACAGACCTCAGAGACCACCACTTTCAACTCCACCATCACAGAGATTAGGACACTCGAGGCCCCATTAGGAACGGGGTGACTTTTCCCAGGTCACCGAGCCAGTCAGTGGCAGAAGCAGACTTGGTCCTGGGTCTACTGCAGCACAGCCAGGCCACAGGTTCCATCCCCAGAGCACTAGAGCTGGCACACCGGCCCCTGGCCAGCCTCTATCCTTCAGGGACTCTGGGGCCTGGTGCTTACTGAACACTGGCTTCCTTCTATCCCTAGGTTCAGGGGTAGCTACAATTATGCCACATTAGGCCCCCTGAAAGTCTCTGACCAGCTGAAAATGCTCCAAAATACTTTTGATTAACCCACTGCATGCCTAAGTCAACGAATTTACCTAGCTCTTCCAGAACCTGTTATGTTTTCAGCCAGCACACCTCTCAGGAGTTACTATTCCATAAAGTTAACCACCCATTAGGCAAAATGATATTCCCTTTTATTCATCCTAAAGCTGCAGCCTTCAGGCAATCGGGGTGGTCCCTAGATCTAGAATGCTTCAATTTGGTAAAGAAAGATGTGCTTAACGTAAGCTCCCACCCCGACTCCTTCATGGATGTACAGACAGAACATTACATCCTCTCAGGTTTCATCTTTCCAGAGATGAAAGGCCTAATCCCTCCACTCCAGCCACAAACAAAAGAAAGTATTAACCACAGTGGTGTAAATGACAATAACAATACTTTGCATCTGCATAGTCTCCTCACCTCCTTAAAGTACTTTTACACCCCTTCTTACGGGATTGTCACATCCCTGCAGGGTGATGAGGGCAGGGATTACTCTCCTGGCTGACAGACACGTGGCGGGGTGCTTCCTGGAGTCACTCAGCGGGAAGCCGTCTTCTGGCTCCCAGCCCAGTGTGCCTCCCACCCTTCTCCATTCCCTGCCAGGCTCCCCAGGGGTTCAGGACATGGGGACAGAGGCAGATCCCAGGCCCCTGGCCCACTTGCCTTGGTGAGGGCTGCGATTCTCTGGGCTAGCTCAGCCTCCACCTCCGGCAGCGTCTCTGCCCTGCGCATCGTCTGCTGCAGCTTCTGCTCTGCCACCTCCAGCAGCTCCTGCAGGTGTCGGGCCTTCTCCTCACACTGGCAAGGTGGGGGCGGTGAGATGATTCACGAGGGGGTGCTGAAGTGCCACCCCGAACCCCAGCCTCAGCAGAGAGCAGATAACAGGTCAGAAGGAGCAAGGGACAATCTTGGTTCATGGCTGCCCAAAATGCCTGACTTCCCCTTTCCAAAGGTCCCTGCAGGACCCCAGGGGCTCCCAGGCCACCAAGGGAAGGTTCTGGCCCAATCATGAGGACCTCTGGGGTTAAGGACAATGTCCACCTCCACCCCCTCTGGAGGAGTTACCTGGCGGTGCAGGGACTCCTTGTTGGCCAGCTCATTCTCCAGTTTGTCATTGAGGTCATGGATGGATGTGGCCTCACGCTGAGCGGCCAGGTAGCGCTTCTCCAGTGTGGTGATTCGCTCCTCCATATCATCCTTCTGGGCCAGAGCCTAGGTGGGAGAAAAGGGAATAGGGAAGGTCACCAGCTTTTCCCTGCTCCTATCCCGTCTGCACCCCCCCACCAACACCTGGCCGGCTGTAACCCAGAAAGGGGCATGATCTATGCTCCCCTGTCAGTTTCTGGCCTCGACCCTCCCCTTCCACAACTCCTCCCACACTGGACCTCGACAAGTGCTCAGTCTTACCCTCCTCAGCCCTTGCCTGGCCCTCCCTCCGTACCCTCCCAAGTGCCAAACACCTGCCCCCAGCAGGATGGGGCCACCGAGAACAGGCCCAACCCTTGCACACCTCCCGGAGATCCCGCTGATGCTTGCTGCTCAGCTCCTCCGACTTGATGAGGTCCCGGCGGGCCGTGCCCAGGTCCTCCTCAAGTTCGGCCACAGTTGCTGTCACGGTGACCAGTCGTTCCCGGGCCTGGCTCAACTCAAAGTTCTGCTTCTCCAGGAGCTCCTGCAGTTCCTCCACCCGGCCCGCCTCGTCCTCCAGGGACAGCGAGCTATCAGTCAGTCTTGGGGACCCAGGGCACCCCACACCTTGCCCTGCCCCAGGGGTGGGAGGAGGGACACCCAGAGCAGATCACCACCCTGCCCCAGTGTCAGAGCACAGCTTCAGGTCCACCTCCTTCCTCCAGGCCCAGGAGCTCACTCCTGACAATGGCCAAACACCCTTGCTCTCCAGTGTATCTCTTGAAAAACAACAGTTTCTAGTTTTACCTGCTTGTGTAACCCAGAAAGGGGCATGACTAGGGAAACAAAGGCTCAGAGAGAGGAGGAATCTTGCCTGATGCTGCCACACAAGGTAGATGGCACATTTCAAGAGGACATGCATACGAAGTGCCTAGCAGTATACTGGGCACTAAAATAAAATCTACAGATCTCTTTGCAGATGGGGTGGGGGAAAGAAGGAAAAGGGGAATATTGGAGAAAGCCCCAAATTTAATTCAAGCAGTTATGCTGTTGAATGAAGGCAGGGTAGGGTCTCCCACTCCCCCTCTGAAAGAACGCATGCCCTGCTACACAGCTCCCTGGACCCACCTTCCACAGGCGTTTCGGCCCCAGCTCCACAGTCCCCTCCTCTTCTGCCGCTCCTTCCCGCACCCCTGCCCCCTGCTGCAAGGCAGACACCTGTAGGGCACAGCCCCTAGGGCAATGAGTCAAAAAGAAGAAAACCTCCCATACATTCCAGACCCTTCCTAGTCCCCTGCCTCCGGGAAAGAGGTGTCCAGCCCAGCCTTAGCAAGCAGTCTCCAGCCACAGTTGGGGAGAAATCCGAGGAGATCGGAGGCGGGCATGGTGGTAAACCAGCCTGGGCTTCCAGGAGCGGCAGTCTGTAGGCTGAGGGTGGGCGGGCAGCTTACCTGCTGGTGGGCACCTGCCAGCTGCTCCTCCAAGGTGGTGACTCGCTCCAGCGCTGCCCGGAGCCGCTCTCGCACCTGCCCAAGGAAAGGGGAGGTGGAGGAAGAAAAGGGAGCCCCACTGGACTCAGACTGGAAGAGCCGGGACGTGGTCTACACCACCGGGCATCAGGGAAAGTGAAGGGCCTGCCAAGAGGCAAATCTGGGAGGGGACCTAGCATAGGACTTTGAAATGAGGCCAGTGGTGGGAGTGAGCCAGTTTCGAAGCTAGAGGGCAGTTTTCCCTAAACACTGGATGCAGGAAACTCAGAGAAGGGAAACACCATGGCTCCAGGGAAGCCTGGATGGATGGGGGTTGGGAAGAGGCGGGCACCTTCTCATCCAGGGCCTTGTGGTGCTCAAACAGGGACTTGAGGGCCTTCAGCACCTCCACCTCACTGGAGACCCCTGAGGGCGACTGGGCCTGGCGCTTCACTACAGTCATCCGCAGCGACCGTTCGTGGCGGGACACCAGGCACTCCAGATGTTCCAGAAGCAGCTGGCAGGGGACGGGGGAGGGAGAAGACAAGAAGGAGGGTGTGAGCATGTGCCTCTGGGCCCCGGGGCTGCATGATCACTGAATAGACACGAGTACAGCCCTGCCCGTTAAACTCCGAGAAAGTCACCCATGCTGGTACACAGCCACTGCCCCTTTTGAACGCCACCCCCAAGCCGGCTGCCCTGCCTCTCCCCCAGGACCCCGACCTTTCAATGACCCAGCAACGACAGGTGAAGAGGCCAGCACTGGTGGCTAAATGATGTGACTGTCCCCCTAGGATGGGAGGCAGAAGAGGTGAGGATGGGGCTGTGCCTGGTCCCTGTCCTGCCGGCTCTCCGGGCCAAGGTGCTCATGCCCCACCCCCATACACGTACACACACTTACCCTCGTGTTATTCCGTTCTGCTTTCAGCTCTGATATCTCTTCCTCCCGCTCTAGAAGCTGCTCCCGACACATGCTCAGCTCCCGGGTTAAGGTGGCAAATTCCTGAAAACCCCCAAGGCCCCTCAGTACTTGGGGACCCAAGCCCCCCTGCAGCATCCTGCACACTCAGGGCAGGGTGGGATCCTCTCACTCGTCCCTTGCTTCCACCACACCACAGGGCAGCAAGCCTGCGACTGAAATGTGCTCCCCAGCGGGGTCCGTGTCTCTGGGCCCTCCATGTATTCCAAGCGCATGTTAGGACCCAAGGGGACAGAGCTGGATACAAGAGTGAGAAAGTCACCGAGTCCGCTCTGCAGCCACTTCCCCCACCCCAGCCACCAATATGACCAGACCAGGTCCTCTCTCCCACTTGGCATTTCCAAGTCCCCAGCAATTCAATGACATTTTCCTTTAGAAACTGATGGAGGGGAGTTCTGCCTCTGGTTTAGCAGAGTAAGGTCCAAACGGAAACTGATGGAAACTGATGGCCATCCAAGAGAGAAGAGAATGGGGTTTTGAAGACAATGTGTGAGTGAGTGCCCCAGGGAGTTCTCTTCCAGCCCCTCCCCAGGGCTTTGCAAGCTGCAGATAGAGAATGAAATCAGTGGATTGAAGGACCCATCTACATAGGAGCGGGAGCCCCACTCAACCAAGAGAGGGCTGCATCCCAGCACCTGTTGCCAAGGCACTGACCCTGGCTTTTCCGAGTATCCACACACCAACTATCCCTTCTAGGGGGACCCATTCCCACACTCTGAGACCCAGACATGTTCAGAGACCTTTCCAGCCCACCCTCCCTTATCAGAACCAGCATACAGGGGTGAGACACTGGCCCCACCGTTTCAGGTTCATCATATCCTTATTTATTTAATTAAACATCACCTCATTCCAGAAAGATTTTCAGATAAGCGGCCCAAATTCTGTGGATGCCCAAGGTCTGAGAGTGACTGAACAGGCTGCAGCCCCATTGTAACTTGCAGCCTCCCTCACACCAAGGATTCATGAGCAAAGGAAGAATTCCCAAAAGCAATCCCCTCGTTATCACTCCAAATAAGGCAAAAAGGGCTAGAAGGGTTGTGGGAAGGGACAAGAGACCAGAGATGCCACAGCATAAGAAACCATGAACCTCTGACCCTATTCCTTGGTTATGGCCTTTCTATCAAGGCCATGGCCAATGGTGGTCAAATTCGAGCATCTCATACTCTGGAAGCCAAGGCCTGTGCCTGATGCTGCTTCACCCTCGGCTTGCACACATGCATGCATACATGTGCATATACACATGCACACGCATACACATGCAGTCATGCACACATGTATCCAAGCTGGTGTCCAGAGACGGGACACGGTGGTATGGCCCCCAACCCTACACCAGGACACCACTGCTAAAGGGCTGGTGCTCTCCCCTGCCCTGGCCTCAAGCTCAGTGGCTGCCTCATCTCCCCACCTCAGGACACCTGTCCCCTCCCTCCTTACCTCTAACTTATGTGACACATTGCTGCCAGGACAATCTCCTAAAGCACAACACTGCCTACACATACAAACTTCTTATGCTGGTGTTCAAATTTCTCTCTCATGGTTCCTTTCTATACACCCTAAGACCCAGGTAACCTGGGTCACTTGCTGTTTCTCAATGTCAGCAAGCTTTCCTAATACCACACCTTTGCTCAGTGGGCTCCCTCCCCCTGGGAAACCCTACCCTCTGTCACCACCTGATGAAACCATATTCATCTTTCAAAGCCCATCTCAAAGGATACAGCCTCCTTGGGAGCTTTCCAGACTCCCCAGTGGAAGGCCCTCTCCCTCTCTTTCAACCTGTTCAGGACACTGGTTAAGAGCACCAACTCAGGAGTCCATTATTCAACCACAATATCCATAAGCACCTACCACGTACCAGGTCCCATGCTGGTCACTGGGGATACAGTGATAAGAAAGACACAACCCTGCCTTCACGAAGCTGCCAGTGTAGGAAGTCAGGTAAGCCTGGAATCAAATCTCAGCTCTGCCCTCCTTATCTGTGTGACCTTGGACAAGTTACCTAATCTCTCTGAACCTCACTCTGCGATCTGTAAGACAGAGTGCTCCAGGACATTCACACAACAGTCCTCCCTCCAGGTGTTGCTGTAAGGATTAAATGAGGCAACATATAGAAAGCTCTTAGCCCAAGCCCATCAAAGATGGCTATTTTTATCACTGATATTGTTCTCAACAACCCTTTTAAGGCCTCTCTTATCTTCTTCTACATTCTCTCCCAGTCACATGGGTTCTGTGTGTCTCCTTTCTAGTCTCCGAGCTCCTTTGGGGTAGGGACTGGCTCATTCACTCCAGGGCAGGTTCAGGGGTTCCCGAACAAAGAGGCAGGAGGGGCCCATCTGCCCAACTCACTCCTTCACCAGGGCTCCACATTTTCATCAATAAAGCATCACTCCTGGGCCCTGGGCAGGAAACTCACCTACCAGGCAACCTGGTTCTCCTTCCCACACTGGGGCAGGGGCCTGCTGCTGAGGCCTGAGCTGTCTGGCTCCTCGGGGCTGCCTCCCCTAGCCCCGGCAGTACCCCCGCCAGCTATGAGGTGCTGCTGGGGTTGGGGGAGGCTATGCAATGTCCGGTGCCTGGTTTTGGATACCACCTCTCTGCTCATGAAAGGACGAGGCGAGGGCAGGACGCTCACACGGTTGCTGTGAGTGCTGTGCTCACAGACAGACAAACCCCACCACTCCCTGGGCCCAGTTACCAGGCAGAGTTCACACCCGATGACCCAGGTTCCTGCTCCCTTCTCCTCTTCAGAGTATGAGTCTTGCCTGGAATATCTACCAAATGGTAAGTAAGCAGCAGTAGACACCTCCGGGGCCCATGTAGGGAAGGGGAGTGATGAAGCCCTCAGCCTCTGGAATTGAACAGCCCCAGGGTTCAATTCCTGCCTCCGCCACATAACTTGAAAGTCATGAGCAACTTATTAATCTCCCCGAACCTTAGTGTCATCATCTGCAAAGTGGTGGTGAGAATTTAGTGAGCTAATCCACACAAAGTGCTTAGTACACAGAAAATACACAATAAATGGTGACTACATCATAGCTAGAAGTATGCTGCCAAGGGGCATCAGAAAGGGTGTCAGGACACCTGGCTCCTAGACTCAGCTCTGCCTACAGTTTTCTTCGTGATGTCTCTTGCTTTTTTTCATCTGTGCAACTAGGTGATCTCTAAGGCTTCTCCTACCTCCCTGTCTGTGATTTCCCACCCACCAACGCCAACAGCAGGGCACTGGCGAGAAGCAGACAGGGATGAGGTTTCTTTTCAGTCTAGGGTGCCACCTACTGGCCACCTGGGCTCACTGCAGTTGGCACTTACAGGTTTTCTTCCTGCATCAAATTCCAACCATTTCTCCAGGGAAAGCCAATTCCAGGCAGAGGAGCTTGGGAGTGACAGGGAAAGGATTTAAGTAGGGAGACAAGGAAAGCAAATGCTCGGTGAATTCTAACAGTAGATGTGCAAACAGATGCAGATGAGCCGAGGGCTGTTGGATCTAGCAGGGCTGGGGAGGAGGAGAAGATAAGGGAGCTGCAGATCTTTAGGCCTTACCTGGGGGAGGGCGGAGTTAAGGTGGCGCTGGAGCTGGTCCCGCTCATGCAGGGCATCCTGGAGCCGGCTCTGTGTGGCTGCCAAGGTCTCTTGACTCTCCCGAAGGGACTCCAGCAACTTCTCCCGCTCATCCAGCATGTTCACCATCAGCTGCTCAAAGTTGGCGTCGGCATCGGCGCCATGGGGGGGCCCCAGGGGGTCCCCCTCATTGATTGTGGGCATCACTTCACACATGGTGGGGGTAGGCAGGGCCTTCTCAGCGTCAGGGAACAGGGGAGGGACTCACAGGGTTGGCACCTCCAGCGGAACCCAGTGCATGGGTCTCAGAGTGGGCAGTGCCAGGTGACTGGACAGGTGGGCAGGGGCTTCTCCCATGTCATCAGTTGCTCTTGCTCTGAAAGGGGCCTGAGGCCTGGAGTGCCCCCGTGACATGGAGCCAGAAGGCCAGGCTTAACCTCTCAGGGCTGGGGCTGGGTGCCCTGTGTTCCCAAGCAAGCAGGCAGCAGCGGAGCGTGGCCATGACAGGCAGGGGGAGCAGGGCTGGAAGATGGCCCTTCTCTTAGACTGAGCTCTGGAGCCTGGCAGAGTCCCAGCTGGGTCCAGCGACACCCATCGTTTCTGGAGGGCAGTGTGGTCTGTGGGGAAAGAGAATGCTGTGAGGAACAGCTGCATGGAGACGGGCATCAGGGGAGGAGTGACGCAGGGGGGACAGGACCTAAACTAGCACGTGGGGGCGGAGAGGGAGGTGTGGCAGTGCTGGTGCGCGTCCCTTCTCCAGGCTTGCTCACTCTGATGGTGCCTCCTTAGTTCTCCCCAGGAATACACATGCCTACTGCCTAGCCTCTGCCTTCCCCCCAGCTGTCAGAAGTGCAGCCGCAGTGGCAGTGGTTCCCCCACCCACGTGGCTCGCTGGCCAAATATAGAAATGATTCAGTCAGCGGTAGGGGAGCAGCGGGCAGACTGCCCAGAGTCCTCCTGAGACCTGGGGGTGGGAGGGGAGAAAATAGGGTCTCTGGCCCCTTCCCCCACAGCCTTCCCCCCACACTCAAGCCAAGGCAAGTAGAGAGGGTGAAAGGGCTATTAGTGGGTGTGAGTCCCAGAAGTTGGACTCCAGGGGTCATAGGAAACGGGGGCAGAGTAGTTCCTGCTCTGACAACTGGCACAACACGGCTAAGGCCTTGGAGAGGCACAGGCTGGGCACTGGGGCAGGCAGAGAGCCCTGACCTGCTACAATGCCCGTAATTCAGGGAAGAGGTTCTGACTCAAGTCATTCCCCACTTCCAAAACCTGCCAAGGAGGACGGTATGCAGGCCTGGCAGTCGGCAGGCTTGGATCCTGAACTCACAGCCTACCACCTCTGCATTAGAGCAGGAACTGAATGATGGAAAGGAACCCAAGGTTGATGTGGGGGTGATGGGTGTGTGGGGTCCCCTGCTCATGGCTAGGGGACTTTCCCTCTATCTGCTCCCTCAGTATAATTCCCCATTGCTGGCCCTGCCAGAAGTCACCAGCTAGGGCGGTTAGCCTGCACACAGCCTGGCTACAGTGATGCCTTAAGCCTCACACAGGGAAGCCCAGTGGTCAGAGCAAAGGAAGCTGTACTGAGGAAGGCAGCATGCAGCTGGGGCTTTCTCTGCCTACCATGAGCTTCCAACCTCCCTGCCCACTGTTAGAAAGCCACCACCTTAATTAGTTTTCAGAGGGTACTGAAAAGACATCAGAGACCCTGATGTCTTCAGGGTTCCCAGCTGCAGGACAGAAGTGGTGTGAAACCCCCCAGCACAGTGACAGGCACACTGGAGGTGGTCTATAAATGGCACTTTCCTTCCTTCCCTCTCCCTTCTCTTATGGGAGACGCAAGGGAAGCCTCCTGTCCACCCCTCCGGAGTGGGAACGATAGGCAGATTGAGAGGATCAGAGGACCCAGGGTGAGCTGAAAGGGCAGATCCTGGGCAGGCCTGGGGCAGAACTGAACCCGGCAAGGGTAACGAAGAAGGGCCAGGCCTCTTCCTCCTAAACCCCTCCCCTAGAGTTCTGATGATCAACGCAGAAATAGCAGGGGACGGGGGGGGCAGTAAGAGGGAGGCTGGGGAGCAACGTGGGGCCTGGATCCGATGGAAGTTAGAGCACCAGCTTAAACACTCTGGGGCTCACACCCATAGCCATTCTCAGAGGGAGCCAGTGCCCAGTAGTTCAGGCAGGCATGTGGGCACACACACAACACACATACACATATGCACATGCAGACAGACACAGGAACATGGAGACCTAGGACATATACACACGTGGCCACACACACACACTCCCAGACACAGAAATTGGACACAGACTCTGAGCGAGAGGATCCTTTCCCCAAACCACACAGCCACTGTAGAGGGCAGGGTTCCAAAGGGCTACAGAAGCGAAAGGTAGAAGGTTGGTGTGCACCCCACCTTCCCCAACACGGCTGCTGCCAGGGCAGCCCACGCTCGTCTCACTGCCCCTCAGAGCAGGTGGGAGCGGAGCAGAGGGCTGCCGCCCTAGTCCGGCCAGTGCTGCCATCTCACTAATGCTGCTAACGGCCACTCCTCCAACTCTCCCACCCTCCCAGCCCCCTCTACCATGAATGCCGGGAGGCTGAAAGGCCACATGGCCCAATCACACATCACAAACTCATGCCCTCCTCCCACCCCACCCCCCAACACCCAGTCGTCCTCCCCAGACACTGAGAAGACATGAGAGGCCAAAGAGGGGAGCAGGCCGGGGAAGGGGCTCCTTGTGGCAGAGGCTACCGTCTGAAGAAGAATATCATGTGGAGCTCAGGGCCCCCGGGAATGGCTTCGGCCCAGCAGACCCGCAGGCAGCCTGCAGTGTAGTACAAAGGAAGAAGCCCAGAGCTGGGACTTAGGAGATCTGGGTTACTCTTAGGAGTTCTGTCACAGACCAGCTCGGTGACCTTGGGCTTGTCACCCTCTACTTAGGTCTCTGCTATAAGATGAAGCCCACAGCCCTTGTTGTGCCTACCTTAGAGGAGTGAGATGACAGATGAGCAGAGCTTTGAGAAGCAGAAAGCTCCCTACGATGGTGTGAATCGTGTTGGGAGCCTGTGAGGGGAGTTTTCTGAGCTCCTTACAGGAAAGGGGCTGGAGAAGTTCTCAGGAGGGAAGAACAGGACCTCACGCCGCCCACCAGGAGGTACTGGCTATTTGGTCCAACTTGCCCGCTCCCCCACCCCCAATCCTCCTGGTCATTTTAGCAACTGAGAAGCTGGCTTTGGTGCCACCAGTCCTCTCCCGGCCTCCCTCCAAACCAGGTGCCAGATAGCAACTCCACTTCCCCTGGCCAAATGGCATCACATAGAGCTGGTTTGAAGATGAGCCCAGAGAGGGCCGCCAGGCAGATGCCCCTGAGATGACTGTCCAGGACCTCCTGCCCCCGCCCCCACCAGCTGCACAAGCACAGTGAGCAGAAGGGAGCCCTAGGACAGCCGCACCAGGACACCTGGCTGGTTCTGGCTCCTTCTGGCTCCAGGGCCGTCTTTAAATAGAGCAATTATCATCTCAGCCTAACAGAAGCCTCCTCAACTCCCGCACAATTTCTAAGTAACACTCACAGGTCCTGATTCGGAGGCGAAAGCTGCCGTCCCCAGAGCAAGAATTTGCAAGGGGCTTTGCCGGGGAGGAGTGTGGGCAGGCTGCGAAACAGCGGAAGAGGGCCCAGGAGCTAGTGGGTGCGAGCGCGTGTGTGAGGAGGGAAGGGCTGGGTGAAAAGTCGGTCTCTGGCCTTCATAAACACAGAAGAGGCAAACTCAGAGGCCCCCACCTTTCCCTACCGAACTGGAGGATGGGCACTGAGTGTGACGCTCTAGCTGGCTACACACACAGGCCTGGCTCCTGCCTGCCCTACCAGATGGCAGCCCCACCACACTGGGAGCTCAGCAAGCGCGGGGCTGCCAGCCCCCGTGGAGGCCACAGGCCTGGACAAGGCTGCCAGGAGCCAAGCTCAAGTCTGAGTGGGCCACAAGCCGGGCAAAAGGGAGCTTCAGGGTGGGAGGCCCTTCAGGTAAAAGAGGAGGGTCACACACCTGCTGGATTGGAGGAAGGGTGAAGGAAACAGGGAGGGAAAATGATGGCTGTGATTTATTCACTATTTACCATGTGTTGTGTTGTCAGCTGACATGCATTAACTTATTTTAAACCTCACAATTCCTTGTGAGGAAGATGTAATGCTTCTGCCCATTTCACAGATATGCAAACTGAAACTCAGTGTCAGGTAGCCAAGACTACACAGCTAGTAAAAGGGATAGCTGGGATTCAATTAGCCTGTGTGACTCCAAAGAGAGGTAGGGAATGGCGGAAGAGGGAGAGTGAAGATGCCTCCTCCAAGGAACCCACGAACCCGGGCCGTGGTCTTTGGCATCCTCACCAGGGTGACGGCAGCCTGAGGACAGCTCACCTCGGCCCTCCCTCTACTTCTCCTCCTCAGGCCTGGGGGAGCCCTCTGCAGAGCAGCCATCAGGGTCCTGAGGCAGTCACTTCCCCATGGGAAGGCCCCATCCACCTCCCACCCGTATCTGTCCCCCTACCCCTCGCCAGCTCCATGCCAAGTCCCCCAGCCCAGCCCACACTCCCGAGCCACAGCTCCCCTTATGTGGTGGGGTCTTCAGACACTCTCCCCCCAGAGGGACGGAAGCCCAGCTGCCCATGCCCTCAGGCTGCCGACTTCTCCTTCCTCTCACCTGAAGCTTCTCCTCCTCCCCTGTCCAGCTCACCACTCCAAGAAGCCTGGCCCTCACTCATCCTTTCCTCCAAAAGCCCAATCCCACCTCCTCCCCGCTGCGCCTCAGCCCTGCTCACTGGCCTGCCCCCAGGGCCACCTACCGCTCATGTTCTTCCAGCACCTCGCCTGGCCCGCCTCTCGTCTCTTTCATGTCAGTCTAATGAACTTAGATCACCCTTCTAAGCTCATCTCAAACGCCACTTCCTCCAGGGAGCCTCTCCTGATGTCCTCCAGTGGGTGAGATCCGCCCTCCCACTGGCCCAGCACAGCCCTTTGTTTATGCCTCTCTTTGTGGGGCTGCTTCTTCTTTCCATCATCGCACCCGTACACTCGAGGGTGAGAACCACATCCTCCTTACTGCTGGGTACTCTAACACAGGGACCTAGCATACATGGGACAGAACAGATCTGTGCCATGGTCATTCTGGGCGAGTGCATCCCTGACCAACTTCAAAGAAGGAAAATGCCAAAATAGGAAAAACTGGCTCGACAGCCCAGAAATATTCATTTATCTTGCCCCTGAAAACTGAGGCTTCATGAGAGCTCGGTGGGTCTCCCCCGTCTCGAAAGGCAGATTCAGGAACAGCTCGTGGGTCTGAAGGCTGGAACACCCACTGTCCCCTCCAGTGACCCTGGGAAGATGCTTCATCTCTCTGAGCCTCAGTTCCCTCTCTGTGAAATGGGGATAACAGCGCCCACTGCAGGCAGCTAATGCACTAGATTTAGCGTGCATTACTAGAGTTAGCGTACATAAAATGATACGTAGCGCCATAGCCATATTTCAGTAATGCTCATCATTGCAACGTGTAGGTTACTGTTACTCCCCATCTGTTACGATTGCTTATTGATTCAGGAAGAAAGACTGTAGACTGCTTTCAAACAGCTGTGACAGATTCCACCTACCCCGTCCTACGATACTTAAGGCAGGAGTAGGGGCTGCCTGTAGCGAAAGGACACTGGTTATGATCTCAGCTGACCGGCTTCCTGGGACATGGTTCTCAGGAGAGTATCATGATACACAATGGTACTGGGCAAGAGCACTAGACCTCCGCACAGTGGGGCGCCATTTCGGAAGATGGAAAGTGTGGAGGAGGGTAGGGGTGGGAAGGGAATTTCTCATCTATGGAATTCTGGGTGTGTCAGTTGCTGCTGAGCTGGCATGAGTCAGAACGTGGGCGTAGTTGCAGTGGTTGTAAGGAGGACGGAGGGCGGGCACAGCAGGAGCCTGGTCCTAATCGTGTTGGCTGCTGAAAGTCTTAGTTGAAAGAGGCAGGCATGCATTGTATCCTTCCTGAGCCCAGGTGCGAGCTAGAGCTAGGTGAAGGATGAGTACACTTGGCTTGTGATGGTGATGAAAGCGGGGGTGAAGCCCGGTGGGCCAGGGAGCTGGGTGCAAGAAGGCTTGAAAATGTGGGGAGCTAGCAGAGAGGCCTTGGTGCCCAGGGGTTCTTGCCTTTATGTGGTGGTGGTAGTGGGTTGCTGAGAAACAAGGTGTGGTGACGGGTGGTATAGAAGTGTGTTGTGCATGACTGGAGATGGAGGGATGGAGAGCAGAGGACTGAGGGAGTGAAACTGCCAGATCTGGGTCCCAAGTAGGGAATGTGGGAGAAATGGAGGGGACGAGGGTGGGTCAGAGGGAGTGAACGAGGGTGTATTTGCAGCCACATGAAGTCACCATCTGACCCCTCATCGCCTGCTAGCCTCACTGACCTTATAATTAGCGATCTGGAGGCATACGGTGCTGGCTCACGGAGGTGGCGCGTTGGGTGGCTGGAAGAGTAAAGAAGTACTCAAGGGCTGTGGTCCTTGGTGGAACTCTGATAGGCTGCTTCTAGACCCTCTGCATTTGCTGTATGGGAGCCTGAGGGAACTGAGCATGTCAGGGGGCAGGCTTATTGGGGGAGGAGCTCTAGATGAAGGATGGTATTGAGACTCAGGGGTAGGCAGAGCCAGAGGACCCCTCTTCCTCACCTGGCCGCTGGCTCATGGCACACAGCATGTCACGATTGCTGCCCGGTTCGTTGCTTCCAGAGAGGCCTGGGTGCTCAGTCGCGGGCTCCCTCAAGTGTCTTCTGTTCCCCAGGTGAAGTCAGCGCTAGCGTGAGCACTTCTGCCTTTCAGTAGTCGGGGCCTGAGAAGGCCTTGGCTGGGCGCCTTCTTTCTGAGAGAGCTGGACGAGAATGTGCCACCAGTTTAATTCAATTGGTCATACTCAAAGTGTGCTCAGTGCTGACCTCCAGGCAGTGCCAGAGACTGAATATGTGGTCACATGCTGTATCGCTCTTGAGGATTGCTGTGTATCTACATTCTCTCGAGTAGTCCTGTGAAACTTTCCGAGGGCTAAGAATGTATCTTACATGTCTTTTGTTTTCCTAACAGTATTGGATTCGAGGAATCACATCAGTAAGTGATTGTCGGTGATTGAAGATTCTTCTTCTGGTCCTGGGTTTGATGAGGAAGGCCTTCCTGCTACCAGAAATAATTAACCTGAAGCAGATAAGCCTCTGGACCCAGTACAGTGGTACATGTCTCAGTGAGGGAATAGATTCTATAACAGTAGATGATCTTAACTGTCTAAATCTCATAAAGCATGGTAATGGTAATCCCGAACAATAAATGAATGTATAGATATAACTATATCTATAGTCTATATTAGTTATATATAATAATAATATTACATACAGTGAGTTAAGAAAGAGTACAATTATGCACAAGATAATTTTGTATAAAGTGTCCCGATATAATAGCTAGCTTGCATTTAGAGGGTTTATTGCCCAGCAGTAAGTTGAATCTATATATACATATTGATATACCTTCATGGCCATATGTCTTCGGTAGATACTGTCTATTTCAGAAGGGGAGATAGGTTTCCATTCAATTTAAAAGCTTCTTAGACCATGAAGACTTCTCATTTGGTAGTGGCTCCTTGCTGCCTGAAGGTCGTTAAGTAAGACTGAGCTGCCAGGGATGCTGTGGGGAACTCCACACGGGGTGGAGGCTGGCCTGTGTGCTCTGAGAGCCCTTCTGAGTGATCTACAGTTGCCAGGTGGGGTGGGATGGGTTGGGCACGGATGTAAAGGTACACACCGTTCACCTGTCATGACTGCATGCACACCACACTGCATTCCCTGCTCACACCCACACGTCATGTGCAGTGTGAGCCCTGACCGTACTTTGAATCACACACCTAATATGTTCAAGGCTGTACACAACCCATTCACTCTCATGCACATACTCTCAGGACCCGTATCATGACCATAGTCTACATTTCCTCTCTTCCTCTCTCTCTTTTTTTTTTTTTTTTTATTATAGAAACTATATCTCTCTTCTTTTTTTGATGAAACCATACACACAACGCATTCTCACAGATCCACACTATACCCATTGCTGAATACACATGACCTCTCCCGACCATTCTCTTTTCCATTTACATAAAACACACACACAACACACACACCACACACACAACACACACTTTTGTGATCACA